AATATGCTCCCCCGAAATTTTTTGGGGAGCATAAAAATCACTGAACCTGAAAATGCTGATGATATGCAGAACTAGACTTGGTTCTGACCATTCCTGTAAAGTTTGGATGAAATTGCACCAGTAGTTCATGTGGTGAAGTAGGGACAAACTTTGTAACAGACGGACAGGCAGACTGACAGAAAGACAAGAAATGATCCTTATATGTTGTCACTACTCAGAAAATATTGCCAACTTTTAATGAAAAAGTATTACAATTTTCAATTTTGCTTAAGTTTAAACAACAACAGTTAATTTAAAAGATTCTAATTGATAATGTCTTTATTACAGGTGAACATTTATTTAGTTGATCAAACGGCTGAAATTTAAAAAACCCAAATTTAAAATTTAAAAACGTTTTTAAAATTTTTAAAAATGAATTTGTTCCCTTTAAAAATGCATTATAATTGATAAAATACAGTTTCAGTAAACTAAAAAAAGTTAAAACTTAAAGGGAAAAAAATATTTCCTGATCAGACTCGAAAATTATTTATAAAAATTTTTAATTTGACCATTTTAAACCCAAATTACCATGCAAAAATATCTTAAACTGACTTAAACGTTAAATTTTGTCCATAAAAAAAGGAAAAAACCTTTCATTTTTTTTAGGAAAAATTTCAAATTTAAAATTACTGTCTACTGCCCTGAATAGAAAAGATGTGTTCCCGGGCCCTTTGATTCCCTGGTGACGGGAGCAAAAATGATTGCTGCAAAAGCTTAGAAGTTAAAAAGATGAATTGTGTTGGATCTATAAATAACCAGTTGTAATTAGGGAAAAAATACAAATTAAGTCACCACAATACAATGACAACAATATCATTTATTTCAATACGGAATAAATAATGAAATATTGATTGATACTTGAAAAATACCACTGACAAGTCAATTACTATTAGTTCAAGAATTTTGAATTTTTCTTTCAATATATTATTTGACAACCTTCCAAAACATGTGTCATGTCCCGAAACATGCATCACATGCGGATCCAAAATCTTCAATGAAACTAACCGTGATTCATCTAAAATTTATAACAATATGATAAAATAAACGTTTACCTTACACTTGACACCAAGATTAATAAGAATCAATCTTGGTAAATGCTTTGATTTGTGTTTCTTTTTAGTTCTTCTCCTTTCCCAAACCTCTCCGGTGCTGTGCGGGTTGGTACCTTGCTTCGATTCTTTTAACAGGCAATTATTAGAGGGCGTTATGAGAAGTCGGGAACCAAGAATGAAGTAAAACGGGCCCTTGAAGAACAATTGGGTCAAGGCCGTGACATGTTTTTCAAATGCATTTCTTCAATTACTATGCATTGCAATTGTGTCATTACTTACTGTTAATGCATGTAATTGTTGATCATTGCTTTAAGCAGTTCTATTTCGTAATTTCCATTCAACTGTAAAGCACCTGTTTTGAACCACTTCTCCGACTATCAACAAACAACATGCGCGCGCATCTCTTGTCCATGTGCGCAATGTTAAAAGGATAGTTCTTTCCAGTGGGATGTGCAAATGTGGGGCATATGTGAAAAATGGTATAATAATGGAAAACATAAGTTGTTTTTAATTATACAGGTTCTTTTGTTTAAAAAACGCAGTGTTTAGTAGGGAAAGGTTTAAAAGCCATGCCTTTAAAAGCCATTGACTCAATCCTTTAAAATAATTAAAATGCATGTCCTGTTTGAGCTAGGTTTTAATATTGAAAGGGTATACATCTTAAGTTTTGTAAATCAATATTGGGATTTTTTCAATATGCTAGTAAAATGGGATGTTTGGCGTATAAGAGAGATAGCCGGACCCTCTCATATCAACCACAGAGCTATATTTTAATATCTGTAATAAAAGTCAAATGATGGCATTATATATAGATTATTTAGAGTTTCCTCATTTATGAAAAAGCCCTTATAATAGCCAAGTTTTAGTTCAGAAAAATGCCCACATAACTGGTATGGTAAACTTTGTTTGAATTTTTCTCTAAGACATATAACTATCTTTCTGTCAATTTTACAGTTCCTTATAGTGCCCATAAGGAGGATCTTACCTTAATTGGTTAGAAAAGTGAGAGTTGGAGTGGGCTTTGGAATTTAATCCCTCCAAGTGACACGTTTTCCAGGTCACAAAAAGGAAACATCCTATCCCAACTCATACTATCTTTAGGAGAGGGACACGTAATGCGTGAATAATAATAACTTAAACGGGCCCATATGGGAATAAAAGGGATAACTTAAGAAGAGTTGTAAGGGTGAAGAAGTGATGGGTAAAAAAAATGGGAAGGGGGGGGGGGGGTAGGTGAGAAAATACCTACCGTCAGCGACAATCCAAACCTTACATGGGATGCCCATGTAAACAAGACATCAACTCATACACAGAAACATAAAGATTAAATCCCAATCCATTAAATCCATTAATGTTTGGTGATCGATTGGTTTGCAGAATTATGTCAGAGCAATGTAAATTGCAGTATTGTCTGCAAACAAGCGGACCTGGGAACTTATATTTCGTGGGAGGTTACTTAAACGAGAAACAGCAATTGGGGTCATATACAAAACTGTATTTTTTTTTATTTTCAATGAAGTACTTTGTTAAGTTTGAAATGGAATTTGCACTCTCTCTTTTCTTTTTAAAAGTTAATTAGACTTCATTCATTATTATCACTGTTACTTTTATCATATTATTTTCAAAATTCATTATCAGTAGAAGCATTTTCGTCTTTGTCGTCTAGAATAGAACAAATTATAATAGAATAAATTTTATTTCAAATCTTAAAATTTATTCAATTATTCATGCTTTTCTATTCTGAGACAATGATGATGATGGTTATTTTTAAAATGACATGTTTAAAAATAATGTAAATAAAATCACAACAAAAAAAAACAAACATAAATATCATCCATGGCGTTTAAAAAATTATTCATTTGATTGGAATCATAATTAAAATAACGAAAAAGCAATTTGTGAAATTTTTCATAAGAGGTAACTTCCACATCAGTTTCCAAAAATCACAAGTCTATTGGTAACTCTGTAGATCTATAATTAGGTGTGCATAGTAAATGTACGTTTATTTACATTTGCACTGTCGATTACATTCACCCTGTGCACGTGCTGTGTCCCGTATACATGATTAACAGTTAGAAAAAAACAAAATATCATTTTACTAATATTGAGGACTATAAAAACAAATCAAACTTTTCAAGTATTTTTGCTAAATCTCAAACAAATAAATAAAATCTACACACTATTTGCACTCTAGTCAGACGATACCTTATGCTTTTACAAAAAACCGTTTACTGCTACTTATAAACTGATTGTCACTCTATCATTTGTAGGTCAATGTTCATATGCAAATACCTTATAGTTTCTAAGTTTTGGGAAACGAACATTGTCTGAATGAATTGAACAGTCAACAATATCAATCAGTATACTACACAAAGTTTCTAATAAGTCAATAAAAAAGGACATACGCCTGAAATAGTTAGGAACTATCCTTTTTTGTAGCAATTGTTTCCCTTTGATACTCTTTAAAAATGGCAACACGCATTGGAAGCTCAAGTGAGTATTTAATTTTTATGCATTGCCAAAAGATTAAAATAACACCCAAGTCGTACATTTTAACTCTTACATGTTTATCTGTTTCATGAATCTTTTACTAAAAATCTTATCAAGACTGTAAATTAATCTATTTTATCCTGCACGTGTTTTTATTTACAAATGTTCGTACTCAATATACTTCGTAATCAAGAATAATCATTATATTATTTTGTATTTGCGGTAAAGTGCATGTTAGCATACAGTGTATAATTTCTTCATGAGCTGCACATAGCAGATTATCATCTATCATTTATGATGTTGAACTATTGTATGGGGAAGAAGTAGTCAAAATATATTGACGTGCCAAAGCTTGATTCTGAGATATTTTCGTTCTGGGGCAGAATCTCGCTTTAACAGAGGCGAGATATTGCCCAGACACGAAAATAGCACAATATCTCGTCGCGCAGTACAATTAGTTGGACTAGGGGAAGAAGACACCACCCCTCCCTCAAAATCAGTAAGACAATACACCTTACTTTGGGATATCATGAAGTTGGAGTGTAGAGTGGTCAAGCTTCACAGACTGAACAGACTGCACAGACGTTCAGGCAACCTTTGCTCCACAATCCATATGTACCAGTGTTGCATCTAGGCTGCGCGATTGCGCGATTTGCGCATTTTTTATGAAGATCGCGCATTTTCATTAAGTCAGTGCGCGCCAAGTCGCGCATCTAACTATCTTTTCAACTTAATTCAGTTTATCTTCATCGTATCTTAAAACGCTTTCAGCCATGTTTGTTTTTTCACTCGTGGTTATGACTAAAACACGCACTAAAGTCGCGTGTAGCAGCCGACTAAGTCATCTCGGGTGTGTTTTGTAGTATTCGTCAATATTTTATTTTTTCTACTTCCATTTTGAGCGGACGATAGCTGTCAAAAATGCCTGAATGTAAAATAAATGAATTCTATTCGGTATGTCATATTGTAAGGTAAATGTATGTCCCCCAAATTTTTTTCAAATCCCCCACATTTTTCGATTGAGTGGGGGACAATCCCCCATTATTTTGAAATTCTAGATGCAACACTGTTTACTTGTGTCAAAGTCTTACCACTTTCATTGTCATTGCAGTAAGATAATGGTTAATGACAAATACTTAGTTAAGGGGCGTCAGTGGCCGAGTGGTTAAGGTCGTTGACTTAAAACCACTTGCCCCTAACCGCTGTGGGTTCAAATCGGACAGGGACTTTGGATTCTTTCATGTGAGGAAGCTATCCAGCTAGCTTAGGGAACATCGGTGGTTCTACTCAGGTTCGTGCAGGAGGGCACCTGAGGTCTTCCTCCACCAGTAAAGCTGGAACGTCGCGTTATGACCTATACTGTGTTGATGTGACGTATAACCCAAAACAAACAAACAAACAAATACTTAGTTTACTTGTGTGTTGGCTTTCAGACATATATCTGAAGATAAAAGATAAGACATTAAAGCTCGTCGAGCGCCTGAATCTATTGAGATATGCCTGGAAGTTCAGCAATGTTTACATACCAAATAAAGAGCAAGTCCTAGTTGATATACTCACTGGTTTTCTATTGAACCAGAAGAAGTAAGTGATTTAGACTATTTTATTTTGTGAGCTCACCTGAGCTGGAAAGCTTAAAAGCAAGCTCTGAGCTCAGAAGTGAGCTTTTGTTATCTTATGATTGGGTAATAGATTAGAAGCAAGTTTAGGAGTCTTGTAGTGTGGTCATATTTATTACAAAAATACCTTACAATTTAAAAGTACATGTATTATTTTGGTATTGCCTGTTAAGATTTTGCAATTAATCAGTAACATTTTAATATAACCTATTTAAATTTTGCAATTTAGGTACATTTTGGTATAGCCTGTTGAATATTTTCAAATTTAACAGTAACATTTTGGTAAAATCAGTTAAAAGTGAAACAGTCAGTCAAATAAAGAAGAAATATGTGGCATCTACATATACCTATTACAGTAACAGTCATTATATCTGTTACTGAATTTTCAAACCTTTCAGAGAACGTTTGAATAAAGATGATGTTGACAGGATATGGAAATGTCTGCAGGATGTCTTGCAGACAAAAAAAGCGTCGGAACCAAACAAAATTCTGCTGAGACAGTCTTCTACTCAGGTCAGTATCAAATGCTATATTCATAACAGTGTGAAATATCAAACCTTTAAATGATATTTCACTCTCCTCAACTTTGATGAATATTTTGAATTATTATGCCCCCATTTCGAAGAAAAGGGGGTATATTGCTTTGCACTTGTCGGTCCGTCGGTCTGTCGGTCCGTCGGTCCGTAGACCAAATGGTTTCCGAGTGATAACTAAAGAACCCTTAGGCCTAGGAACTTCAAACTTGGTATGGTGATTGGTCATGACCAGTAGATGACCCCTATTGATTTAGGGGTCAAGGGGTCAAAGGTCAAGGTCACATTGACCTTGTAAGCAAAAACGGTTTCCGATCAATAACTAAAGAACCTTAAGGCCTAGGAACTTCAAACTTGGTATGGTGATTGGTCATGATCAGTAGATGACCCCTATTGATTTTGGGGTCAAGGGGTCAAAGGTCAAGGTCACATTGACCTCTTGGGTAAAAACGGTTTCCGATCAATAACAAAAGAACCCTTAGGCGTAGGGACTTCAAACTTGATATGGTGATTGGTCATGATCAGTAGATGACCCCTATTGATTTTGGGGTCAAGGGGTCAAAGGTCAAGGTCACATTGACCTCTTAGGTAAAAACTGTTTCCGATCAATAACTAAAGAACCCTTAGGCCTAGGAAACTTCAAACTTGGTATGGTGATTGGTCATGACAAGCAGATGACCCCTATTGATTTTGGGGTTAAGGGGTCACAGGGCAAGGTCACATTGACCTTGTAGGTAAAAATGCTTTCCGATCAATAACTTAAGAACCCTTAGGCCTATGAACTTCAAACTTGGTATGGTGATTGGTCATGACCAGCAGATGACCTATTTATTTTGGGGTCAAGGGGTCAAAGGTCAAGGTCACATTGACCTTGTAAGTAAAAACGGTTTCCGATCAATTAACTAAAAACCCTTAAGCCTAGGAACTTCAAACTTTGTATGATGATTGGTCCTGACCAGCAGATGACCCCTTTTGAGTTTTTGGTCAAGGGGTCAAAGGTCAAGGTCACATTGACCTTGTAAGTAAAAACGGTTTCTGATCAATAACTTAAGAACGCTTAGGCCTAGTAACTTCAAACTTGGTATGGTGATTTGTCATGACCAGCAGATTACCCCTATTGATTTTGGGATCAAGGGGTCAAAGGTCAAGGTCACATTGACCTTGTAAGTAAAAACGGTTTCTGATCAAAAACTAAAGAACGCTTCGGCCTAGGAACTTCAAACTTGGCATAGTGATTGGTCATGACCAGCAGATGATCCCTATTGATTTTGGGGTCAAAGGTCAAGGTCACATTGAGACTGTATGTTTAAATGGTTTCCGATCAATAATGAAAGAACCCTTAGGCCTAGGAACTTAAAACTTGGTATGGTGATTGGTCATGACCAGCAGATGACCTATTGATTTTGGGGTCAAGGGGTCAAAGGTCAAGGTCACATTGACCTTGTAGGTAAAAACGGTTTCTGATCAATTAACTAAAAACGCTTAGGCCTAGGAACTTCAAACTTTGTATGATGATTGGTCCTGACCAGCAGATGACCCCTATTGAGTTTTGGGTCAAGGGGTCAAAGGTCAAGGTCATGACCAGTAGATACTTGATAACCCTTATTAATTGTTTGATCACTGGGTCAGAAGTCATGCATAATAACCTTATCACATGACTAATTGGCTGCTGATAGGGGGCATACATGTTTTACAAACATATCTTGTTTAACTTTCCTCAACTTTGGTATTTACATAAAACCAATTCGTATTTATTTAATGTACTAGTATTTTGATCATTTTAAAATTCCCAATTTAGTTAATTTTCTATTCAATTTACCCAATTTCCACAAGTTTTGATTTTCAGCGCCATATGACCTAAATTGTGCTCATGGGCTGTAAAACCAAACAGACGGAAAAAAACCCACAAGACTTAGTGTTCATGGTACTCCCTGGAAAATAATAAAAAAAAAAGGTCTGTCTCCCTATGATAAAGAATTTTATCATTTACTTATGTATATTTATTTTGTTTTACAGATGTTAATTGACTCGCTGTTGGCTGCCAATGAAAACTCTGGATACATCTTACCTTTGATTGGCTGTTTTGATGCCATCATGAAATCAGATTCTCTGTCAGCTGTGTTTACACATAAGTTAGAAACAATGGTAAATTATTTCATTATTAAGAAGTATACATAAAATTTGATAACAAAAAAAGCAATGAATTAAAAAGGTGTTGTATATCTGTTGCAATAAAAGGTCATCAACTTTCTGTCCTTATGCTACTGAAATTTGTGTAATGAACATGACCTGCTTGAAATTTAAAATAATCTTTAGAAGTTTTATAAACAAGAGATTCAAAAACTGTGAAGCCATCATTATAGAGTCTGGCCAGGCTCTACATATTTGGAATAGTTTTGTAATTGTCATTACAAGCTCTTGAAGAATTCAAAAGATCTCTTCATTTCGTAACATACAAAGTATAATAAATCTTTACTAAATACATGTATATTTACAATATAAAATGCCCTATCATTTCAGGTGCTTATACTGGAAGGTTTTTGTCGAGTGTTAACTTTGACTACATGTAAACATAAAGCGTCACTGTCATCAGCTATACATCATACTGTAGATAGGTTTAATGAAACCTTGAAAACAGCACCAGGTCAAAACCAGGTATGTAAAGTAGTGGGTTAAAAAACCAATAATCTACATATGGTTGTAATTGACTTATCTGATCTAGTGTATATGAAGTAATGGGTTTGAAATAGTAGAATTTCACTGCTCAAATGTGCCTTTGCTGTATCCAAAACTTCATTGTAATTCAGAGTGATATTGAAAAAAGACAGTTCTATTCATTTGATGATGTGCATTACATTTACTGATATTTTCCAAAATTATAACATGTGACCAAAGGTAAATAAATTCGAATTGCATTAAATTAACACATAACCTGCTGAATTTGTAGGATGGGTTTGACCTGCTTTGATTTTGGAACAGTCCATTTCAGTATCAAATTACAAAAACTGAGCTACCAATAGTATAGACCCTGGTCAGTTTACAGGGATGTGCAGGTTGACTAGGCTCTATACTGGTGACAAACGCTAAGCAGTTTTAGTTCCACCAGATTAGAGGTTTATGATTTAGTTGAACATTCAACATTGTTGATTCAATGATATGACAATTTTTCTGAATACTAAGCGAAAAAAAATCTAGATTTGCATACATTTATAAATATACTCATGTAAGTTTTCTTTTACTTTTTCAGATTTTGACTAAGTTATGTGACCATGTGTTACCAAAGTTTTTAGGTCTTTGGTCCAGTAAACCACCAGATAGTGTAAAGAAAATATCAACAGCCATTCTTGAAGTTCTCAGTCATAGGTATGTTTCCACTATCTACATAGTTTATACGAATTTAATTTAGTTTGATCGTGTTGGAAGCTATACCTTTATAGAAACACTCTAGTATATGTTCCTGGAACCAGTCAGAAGCAATGAGTGAAAAGTTTCTTGCTTACAGAAACAACAGCTTATCCCTGATGAGATTCGAACCCACATGGCAAATACTAGTCCCACACTTAAGCCATTTAGCCACTTTCTACTTGTACATTCATGATTGTATCTAGTGCATGTATGATAAACAACAAAAACAAAATTTTAGCTCATGCCACACCGAAAATAAGTATAGTTAATAAAACATTTGTTTGCTGATTATGAAGACTGTAGCTTATTTTGAATTTGTAATTTAGTGACACTCTAAATTTTAGGTACAAAAATATTATCTAGCAAACATGTTTTCTTATTTCAGGGATCATCATCAGAATTATGATGTTTATTTGAAAGCCAAACATAGCACTGCAGGTGGACATATACATAAAAAAGCTAAACCTGTGGAACATCTGTTTTCTACTCTGGCAAAACTTTTACAGGTTTTTACATGATAGTATTCACTTACATATTAATCCTTATAAACCCTTAGATTTGTGTAATCTGTAATGAGGAGATTTTGCCGCTACAACTGTTGAAATATACACAAATTGATACACAATGCTAAAACACAAATATTTGATTCATTTTGTTTTCTTAAAATTATACTCATGTTTGTGAAGTACTTTGCAAGAAATTATTGGTTGCGGATATGTTTTAAGAAAAGAAAGGGTCAGTTTGCAGTAGAATTGTAAGAAATATATTTTGGATTAATGACTTGAGATTTTGACTTACTCTGTTACACATTCTAACTTTTGCTGAACTCAGCTTCCAATACAAGGACAGTTGGACATGCATAGACCATAATATTACATATAAATCTTGTCACTAAAGAAGAGTATCATTTTAATTTCCTTTTTGATAAATCATACTACAGAATCACCTTTAAGAGAGGTCACTTGTTACATTGTGCATTTAAAAATTGTTTCCATTTTCTAAGATTGAATGTAACTAACAATGATTTGCTTCTATATTCTAAAATTTACTTCATCTTTTGTAGACAAATGAAGAAAGTTGCAGTCTATACTTACCAGTTGTGTTTGAGAATTATATAAAACAAAATTGGTATGTAATTTTTTACATTTTGTACTATACAAAATTGCGGCATAGCTGGGTAGTTCCCATAGTGTAGTAATCTAAAGATACTAGTAGCTGGCAATTTGGGTTCAAACCCCATCAGGGCAAGCTGTTGTGTCCTTGAGCTTGAAAGTTTACCCTTCTTGCTTAGTACTTTCTGTTTCCTGGAAACAATTTGATAATGTTTCCATGATAATATAGCTTTCAACATAATCAACAAAAAACAATTCTTTGTAAACTGACATAAAAAGTTTGTCAACTCAAAGTGTTGAATCGAAAATTGTGATTAGAACTAACGTGTGGCAAAATCAATAGCCTTCGATCTGAAGGTAACACTGTTCTAAAAATAGATTTTACCTAATCACCACTACATCACCTGTACTGACTTTCGGACAAGGGATTAGGGAGTACACATTATACATGATGTTAATCAGCGTATATTTACTTTGTTTACATGCAATATTTTAAGAAATTGTAGAATGCAAACAAGTTGGAAATGGAATTTAGTGTGAAAAGAAAAGGGACAACTACACACTGTACTTTTTTAAAGTTAAATTTAAACATATGTCACAATCTGCTCTGGCGATATTTGTCAATAAAACGGTTTTTGTCATAAACAATTTTTCATTCAGGCAGAAAAAAAGTTTGACTCTTTTGATTGATGAGGCAAAGTTTAAAAAATGCACCAGTAATTGGCGATGATTTTAACAACAAATATTTTGTGTGAGACATAAAATAAAAACAAATGTATTTTATTGTCTATACGTAAACAGTGTATGTAAAAATCACGGACCTCAATTGTCAATTCAGTTTAAATATACATGCAAGCATGCATGTACGTATTCATTATTTCTGATAAAATAAATACTAGAATCGGCATTTTTTATTAGGTAAAATAGGAAAAATGCAGAGTTTTGCTTATTCTAAAATTATTAAAGAATTAAGATATTAATCATTAATCTAATACTCGTAGCACTTTGGTGGATAGATTCATGACTTCTCCAATCTGCGTATTTTACATAGAAACAAAATTTTGTATGGTATATCTGGGACAGAAAGATACTTTTTCATTTTTAGTCCTCATACCATATCATATCACCATTTCTAATTTTGATAAACAGTGAAACAAAAACAAATTGCCAAGCGCCGGCATTTTTCTCAAATTGACATGCAGGGAAAGTATTGCCCCGAAACTTATTTCTTTTTCACCATATCATCTTTATTTTCCTGATGGTTTTAAACCATCTCAATCATGCTAAAACGCAAGTTTAACTCCAGGAACATCATTTCCATTGAGAGAAATGTGAATAAAAGTATTCGTAACCATTACATGTTGTATAATCTACATGTAGATTAACCAGTTTCCTTGTCCGAAAGTTATCGATATGTGGCTATTTTTAGAACAGGTCTCTTATCAGTGACGTATACGATGCTTATCTCAGATCGTTCCCTATTGTTGGTATTGCCCAGGTTGTCCTACAGCCTGTACCGACAAGTGAATTTTTTCCAGAATCTATTTTTAGAATATCATACAGACACTGATACAGACATACAGTATAGAAATGTTTAGGTAAAATGGACAAGTAAAATTTTGTCAGCCCTGTCTAGTAGAGAAAAGTGTATGTTTTGAATAAGAAATTACAAAGGAAAAAAACAACATACAAGTATTCTTATGCTGACAGCTGATCAATGTCTGTTATATGAAAGAAGCAACTGCACATGTACATTTCCATCACCTTGTGTACAGATCTGTGAAAAACTATTTTTCTTTTCCTCTAACAGGGATTTAGTTCTCTAGAAATTTTGTTAAAGTTTGTTTAGCTCAGTTGGGTATTAGATTCATGATGTTAAGTCTCTCTTGTACAGCATATTGTTTCTTGTGTGATAACTTGATTTAGGGAATTTGCCTAAAACACTGTTTCCGCTGCTGATTTTTGACTTTGAAGAACGAGTTAATTCTTGTAACAATTCAACATATCGCATTGAATGTGAAAGTCTGAAGTTTCTTGCTTTAATTCTTGGAACTGGATGTGAAATAGGGTACTGCTGTCTGGTTTATGACTTTGTTTTGTTATAATTTGTTGTTTTGTTTTACAATCCTGATGACACTGAAACAAACAAGTAAATTATAAAATATCTATTTTATTGAATGTTTCAGTCATAAGGGTATTCAACTGACTGTTCACTACCTGATGGTAGAATTCTGCTCTATGATTGGTCTACGTAGTGACAACAATGACCTTTCTGGACCAATCAAATCATCTGTAATATTTAGAGCTCTACATGAGCTGTTGAAGATTATTCAAGGTAGAGAACTCTATGAACAGTTCCTGGATGAGAAGAATGAGCTTGTACAACTGAAGTTTTACAAACATGTTGTACATGTTCTCACTGACTATAAACAGTCACTAGATGATGAAACAGATGAGTGAGTATAATTTCACTTCCTTGCTTTCTAGTATGGAAAGTCCAGTATTTTAATCAGAGAATTCATCATCTTAGTGTAATAACGTAATAAGTGATTCTAAATTTAATAGCAGTTTATCAGTTATTGCACTAAGGTGACTTCTGAGGTAGATAATATCTATGTCTCTGTTTTATTGTTTGCTTTTAAGATAGTTAGGGATGCTCCAATTTTCTTAAATTAACTTGACAGTCTAGTGTTTATTTTATATGGGTATTTTTATATAATCTATAATACCTCTAGATTCATGTTAGTTTTTTTGTGAAAATGAAATGATTTTTGTCCAACCTTAATCATTTATCCACAGGAATGAACATTGAGGAGTCAACAGAGTCACTGTTAAGACTGCACAGGAATTTATTGATATGCTGACACTCAAACTGTTAAAGATATCGCTATTTGAAGAGTCTTCTGATTGTTATTTCAGATTATTCTTTGACTAGTACTTAACTTCTACATTTCTTATTTCAGGGTGTTCTCAGACTGGTACTCAACTATGACGATATTCATAGAAATGAATCATTATATTGTTGAACTAAAACTTGTTGAGATCTTTTCTATTGGCTGGATTAATGCAAAGGTAAGTTGTGTTTTGTCATTAGTGTATTAATTTGATGTTTATATGTCAAAGTTATAACAGCAAAGAGTCTGGTGTGATTGGAAGGACATGCAGCATGAACTGGCTTTATATTTGTGCCATAGTTATCATTTTCAGGTCCTTGAAGCAAGTGTTAGTATTTATCCTTTTATTAAGTGTATACTGAAAAATTTCTTCTTGATTACAATTGACATTTACTGCAAAATCATTATTCATGGGGAAAATAATTATTGTGGTTTTCGTGGATAGGTCAATCCATGAATTTAAGATCCACAAAATTTCATTTCTTCTGTCGTAAGATTATTATACATCACTTTATTTACATTTTACCTTTTGGAAAAATAAACAATTTAAGAAACCATGAAAATGTTCTTTGTGACAAAACCACTAAATTTCATGCCCATGAAGTTAAGTGAATTGACATTATTTTATTATTTAAGGTTAAAGAGGAGGATATAGAAGCTCTAGACAACATGTTGTGTGAGTTAATGACAACATACTCTAAATTACGACAAGTTCCTAAACTGATACTGAAACTGTTGGGAACTCTTTGTGTGTGTGATGATAGTAACACTCTACAACTAACACCGAGATTTCAAACATGGTATGCTATATTGGTTTCAGTTGAAATATGTCATAAGAAATGTTTATATTCCCATGGGAGAAATGTTTATATTCCCATGGGAGAAATGTTTATATTCCCATGGGAGAAATGTTTATATTCCCATGGGAGAAATGTTTATATTCCCATAAATGTTTATATTCCCATGGGAGAAATGTTTTATATTCCCATGGGAGAAATGTTTATATTCCCATTGGATAAATGTTTATATTCCCATTGGATAAATGTTTATATTCCCATGGAAGAAATATTTGTATTCCCATTGGAGAAATGTTTTATATTCCCATGGGAGAAATGTTTATATTCCCATTGGATAAATGTTTATATTCCCATTGGATAAATGTTTATATTCCCATGGGAGAAATATTTGTATTCCCATTGGAGAAATGTTTTATATTCCCATGGGAGAAATGTTTATATTCCCATTGGATAAATGTTTATATTCCCATTGGATAATTGTTTATATTCCCATGGGAAAAATGTTTATATTCCCATGGGGGTAATGTTCATATTCTAACGGGAACTCAAAATTGATGTCAATACATTAGAAAGTTAATGCTGGAAAATTGTTTCTGATTTCAATTTAGTTTTTAAGAGATTGATGGTCCCATAGGGATGGATGATTTTATCTGTAAGAGATGGGTAATTTTACGTTCAGGGATGGGTGGTTTAAGCCCTAGTGAATGAAAAGGGTTTAGCCCCTAATGTGGTGGATTAAGTTCAAAGAATTGGGTAATTAAACCTTATATAGGTGGGTGGTTTTGCTCTACAGCAATTATTAGGATCAATTTAACCATCTGTCAAGTTTAACTGAAACCTAACATCCCTCTAGAGCACACATCACCCATCGTTGTAGGACTTATCATTTCATCCTTGTATAGCTGTAAACCACCCACCCCTATGTAGCTGAAATTAGTCTAGTTTATCAATTACTGTAGTTTATCAATGAAGAGGTTTAACCGCTTATCCGGTTAGGCTTAAACAACCCATCCATGTTGAAAAAGTTTTGCCAGCTTGACTGTTAAATACTCTTTACATTAAATGTAATTACAAATAAATGTTGCTGATACTCTATGTAGCTATGGTGAAGTTATACAGAATCTACCACAAGGAACTATGTTAGATGTATGGAAGAAGTTTGCAGCATCTCTTAAAGGTCTTTTTGTCAGTGATGAAACTAAACATGACACAGGTATATATAATTTTCTTCTGAGATGATGCCAAAAGAATTATTATAGCTATGCTAGATTTTGGTGTGTTTTTGTGATAGAAGGAAAAAGAGTCTGTGGCCAAGTGGTTAAGGTTGTTTACTTCAATCTATTTGCCTCTCACCACTGTAGGTTCAAGCTGCTCAAGCATCTTGAATTCTTTCATTGGACAAAACTATCCAGCTAGCTTACAGAACATTATTGGTTCTACTCTTGTGCCCGTTTGTGGCTTAAAAAGGTCACAATAAACGTTGAAAGTCGCCATATGACCTCTACTGTGCTGGACGTAAAGCCCAATAATAATAAAAAGAAAAACACCTTAGTGGTCATTTTAAACATTATGGCAGCAACTAACTGGTCTTGGGTGAATAAAAGAGAAGAAAGTAATATACTCTGGGAAATATATAGTCAATTCATCTCAACTTAATGTATTATAGTTACTTATTAAGATGGTGTGTATGGTAAGAAATTTGTCAGGTTTATAGTTTAACTATTAAGTACAGTGTCTTTCAACATATTTTCAGGACATTTTCAAGGAATCTGCCTTCTGTTCCATCATTTCTTACTGAATGTCAAGGTTGCAGACTACACTGTCACTGAACTGACCTTGAAATCTGTTCAAGATCTACTGGTTGTCATGGAAACAGAAATATTAGCTCCACTATTGAAGGAAACCTTAGAAAACAAAGATGTAAGCGTGTTATTGTTGTAATAAATTAAAATCTATGAAATAATTGTATAATGGTTTTGATTTACAACTTGCATGTATTTGTAAAATGAGGGAACATAATCAAAACCTTGGTCTTGCAGTCATTTTTTGAATGTGCAAAATGTTATTTAATATCTATTCAATTTGTAGTTTTTAAACTTAAGATATAAATATAAGTCTTTGGCGTAAATATTGTGTTACTCTTTCTTATAATTTTTCAGATGTCTAAGTTAAAGCATACATTATTCTTGAGTCAAGCTTGGGGTGAAGTTGTGGCCATGTTAGCTCTGTATAAAAAATTCAGAGCCAGCGAATTCCAAACCAAGGTGTTAGTTTCACATGAAGGTGATCTTTCCTATGTACATGGGTATCTGGAGACAAAACAATGGATGAAGTTGTACAAGATTGTCACAGAGCATGCTGATCAAAGTTTAATATATGTTTGGGTAAGTGGTAATGGTCATTGCTAAATTTGTACATTTTTTTCCATTTAATTGAATTTTAATTTCGAACTGTCAATTGTTATGTCCCCCACTTAGGGACGCATTTCCATATCAATTTATGTGGTTTCACTGTTAAAAGGATAGATTTAAAAACACAGCATTACAGGCTGCACTATATGACTTGGCCGGATTGCACAGATATGAAGACTTAACAATAAGGGTTTTGATTACATTTAATTGGTTTAGAATATTTGTTAAACTAAATGTAGTAAATATCAATTTAAAAAGAATTTCATGAATTTTACCAGCTTTCCAGACTTTTATATGCAGCTTTTCTATTGGTTAATTCAATATTTTATACATGTATGATATGCATATCAACCAATTAATTGCTCATGAAAAAAACAGTGTCTACCTGTGTGTCAAATTGTGCTGAAGTGTTGTAATAATGTGGATATTGATTACAGGAAACATTGATGATGCAGAAAGTTAGGACTGTGTTAGTATTTAGGGGTGTCACTGATTGGTCCATGATGTCTGATACCATGACAACGTTTATAAACAATTTTGAAGATGCTGACAAGAAAGAAGATAATGCATCTTGGACTGGCAGGGTAGGATTATATATATATATATATTATATATTGTTGATAAAATCCTGCATAAAATTTCTAATGAAGATCATTGCATTGCATACACACTCAAGGGTGAAATTGTGGAAGATTGTTGACTCCTGTGATAGACTTAAGCTTATGTAATAATTTTGACACTAAAGTGCTGAATGTAATGAATATGTAGACTTTGCTGGTTGTTTAATTGTCATTCCACTTTTTCCCAATATGACTAAATATTATGTTAGAATTTTCCCGAAATGAAAGGCTAAGGCATTGAGTTTTGTAAATAGCTTACCAGCAAAGTCAAGGTTTTGAACTGTTCTTCTTGAAATCTATTTGCATTATTAATAATGAAATACTGCTAAATTTAAAGGGATAGGTGACTTAATGGTTATGGTGTTCATAGGTTCTAGACTCATGTTTCTTCATTTTGCCAGTGCTAGTAAGTTCCAGAAAGCTGACTCTAAAGTTATTAATATCAGTAAGAAGAACTTGTTTCACTCTCAAGCTTAAATAAATTCAATAGGTTTAAGCTGAATACTATTAAGCCATTAATTTTGTGATTATTCTAATATAAACTCAACAGTTTTATCCAAGCTTGTATAGAAAAAAATAAATTATTGTATGATTTATGTTTGTATGATGAACATATTTTAATTAACACTAGTTGGAAGATGTGACAGAGACCAGTTTACTAACAGCAAGATGGCGTCTGCTGACATCCAACATGGCCGCCATTTATGCAGTGTTGTCTGATGAACAGATAAAAACAGTTGCAGATTTCATTGTTAAATGTATGGTCACATTTGAACCACAACAAATCAAGTAAGAATTTTATAACAAAAAATCTAAGTTAGTTCTTGTGGTATTTCAGGGCTAGTGTAATTTTTTGAGGGAATAAAGGTATAATATATTTAACATTTATTCAAACTTTAAGGTGCATTTACTGTTATTTATAACTTTTGATAAAGTAACAAAAATCTCCAAATAATCTTTTTCAGGTAGTTGCTAAAAACAACCATTATGACAAATGTACAACATAGATTTTTCTTGATTAATTAAAGAACAAAAATGACTCTTTTTAGCTCGACTATACGAAGTATATGGAGAGCTGTCCTACTCGCCCCGGCGTCCGCGTCCGCGTCCGCGTCCAGATTTTAGATTAAAGTTTTGGTGCAGTAAAATATTTTTCACTATAACTTTGTCATTTCTTAAGGTATCAACTTCAAACTTCAAATATATGTTCCTTATCATCAACCACATCTTATGTGACAAGGTTCATAACTCTAGCACCAATATTTTCAGATTTATCTCCCCTTGAACTTAGAATTTTCCTTAAAAAATATTATTTTTTACTGATACTTCTTTATTTCTTAAGGGATCAACCTCATACTTCAAATATATGTACCTTATCATCATTCCCATCTTATGTGACAAGGTTCATAACTCCAGCACCAATATTTTCAGATTTATCTCCCCTTGAACTTAGAATTTTCATCAAAAAATACTATTTCTTACTGTTTCTTCTTTATTTCTTAAGGGATCAACCTCATACTTCAAATATATTTACGTTATCATCATCCCCATCTTATATGACAAGGTTCATAACTCTAGCACCAATATTTTCAGATTTATCTCCCTTTGAACTTAGAATTTTCCATACAAAATATTATTTTTTACTGTAACTTATTTATTTCTAAAGGGATCAACTTCATACTTCAAATATATTTACGTTATTATCATCCACATCTTATGTGACAAGGTTCATAACTCTAGCACCAATATTGCAAGAATTATCTCCCCATAAACTTAGATTTATTTTCTAGAAAAATGTTATTTTTATTTTAACTTTTTTATTTTAAAAGGTATCTACCTCAAACTTCAAATACTTATTCCTTATCATCAATTACATTTTATGTGACAATGTTCATAACTCTTGAAGCAATATTTACAGATTTATCTCTCTTTGAACTTAGGATTTTCTTTAAGAAATATAATAACTTCTTTATTTTTTAAGGTATCTACTTCAAACTTCAAATATATATTTCTTATCATTACACAAATGTTGTGTTGCAAGGTCCATAACTCTAGCATGACTATTTCTAGAATTATTCCCCTTGATCTTGGAATTTATGTTAACAAATGTTATTTTTTTACTATAACTTAATACATAATTATACATAATTGATTTTTCTTTCATAGTTTTGTCCTCCTTACTGCGTCCAGTATTTTATTAGTCGAGCTTCGCTGTCTCCTGTGACAGCTCTTGTTTAGAGAACTACTCTTTTTTTAGAGAACTATCTGTAACGAAAGCTACTTTTTCCACTTCCCAGGTATTTTCTCTTCAGACAGGTTTGATTGTATTACTTAAGTGTGCAGACATAAACACTGGACAGAAATTTCAAGTTGATAAAAAGAAAAATTAAACCTTCTCATTTTACATGGCTTTAACTATGTAACTTATTTATTAAAAATAAAAATGATTATTTCAGGAAAGGTTTGAATCTGCGAGATATAAGTATGAAGTTTTTGGAGTCAACTGTACTGCGGGAATCTGGTCGTCTGCTATCTTGTTTGGGAACCTCTGTTTGGAGACATTGTGGAGTGCTCTTCAATGGCAGAAACATTAAAAGGTATTTTCTGAACTTTTTAAAGGACTTTTGTTCAAAGATTAATTAAGCCATGCCAACATAGTGCGTTTGCGACCAGCATGGATCCAGACCAGTCTGCCCTGCTGCGCAGTCTGATCAGGATCCATGCTGTTCTCTTACAAACCCTATAACAAGTAGAGAAACTGATAGCGAACAGCATGGATCCTGATCAGACTCCATGGAAGCGCAGTCTGGTCTGGATCCATGCTGGTCACAAACACACTATATTGATTTTGTCATGGCACGGCTCAATTGATGTATATTTTAGGTTAAGATAATGTAGTTATCATCAAGTTATTACCAGAAGTTAAAGTAGATTATGTATGATGAGGTCAGAAGTGATTTGTTATATTTCTTTCTATTTTATTACCATTGAAACATTTCACTTAGATATTTCAGTATTTTAATTAAAAAGCATGAAAAATAGCTTAAAGTTTTAGTTAGAAATTTAACAAATCTGCTGAACTTTTGTTTGAACAATAATGTTTTAAAATATTTTTAAATACAAAATAAATTTTTCAAAAAGTGTGTTTGGTGACTTTTTATCTCTAGTCCAAAGAAGAAGAAACAGGACACCATGACAACCAATGTTTCAATATTGATGGGTATTTTAGGAGATTCTGACATATCCTGGCCCCAACAAATAGATGGGTAGGTGTTTTATTAGACACATCTGTTGATCTTATATTATGTAGTAAAGATTAATTTCATCTTTTACTTTTGCCTGTGATGGAAGTCATTTTAACTACCCGTATACTATGTCTAAATGTCTGAATTAAAATTTGATTACAGACTTGACAGGTTACGCATTCCATATTTATTTAATTTAGTAACAATTTGTACATGTAACATAAATAGTACATTTAATAGAAAACAGAAATCAAATAATACCGAAAATGAAAACAGTTTAAAGCAAATGGGTTGAGCCACAAATTTTACCAACTTTAATGAAGGCTGTTCCATATTTATAACAGAAAATCACTACATGGTGTTGAAAATGTACGAGTTTCTAAGAGAAATTTAGCATAATCTTCATTTCTGTAACAATACAATTGTTGCATGTCAATTCATTTTGTATGAACTACTTTACTTATGTACTTCTTGATTTTATTTGCAGTGGGAGTGTGGAGAAAATGAAAGAGGCATCGGAAGTCCTTGCTGTGATATCTAATAGTACAGAGTCTATCCATGTGGCTGACCCCTCTCAATTGCAGGCTTGTATTAAGGTATATTTCATCTTTTTAAACAACAAAAATTACAATGTAGAATTTATCTGTGGGCAAGTGTTTTTCTGTGACAATTTAACTGACCACTTTAAGTTTAGTTCAATTTGACTTACATGTATATTTATTTTTAATGAAAATCTCAACAATGGTATTTTACTGCCTATTATTTTCTTTAAATAAATTTTACAGAACAACAATGTTATATATTTTCATTTATTTTCATTCCAGATTATTCATTGTCTTCCATTGGAACATCTGTGGTCATGTGATCAGATCAGGTGCTTGACTGGTTTACTGGCTGTGAAATGTTTGACTGAGAAATTGGAAAACCAGTCTGAGGTACTGTAGTAGAATGTTAATACATTACTGATTTGACATAGAGATAAAATAGGCTATATTAGTAAATTTTGTTTGATATCAAGTATGTATTTCTTGATTACTTCATGAATTATATCTAGATAGTTTTCATAAAGTTTTGACTGATCTAAATAAAAGCCAGAAGTATTTTGACTGTAGAAATAACTCACATCTTCTTTAGTAATGTAATCATTTTACTTTTTTCCATCAATTTAATTGCTCTTTGCTCGGATGTAATAATTAATCAAAGTTTCATGCTTTAAGTTGTCCTGTCTTTATGTAAATTTTAAGGCTTTTTGCTGTTGAAAAAGGTTGTAATATCTTGTGGTACATGTATCAAAAACATTAATTACAGAATGAGAGTTTGAAGAGCCTGTCATCAGACTGTGTAGAAATGTGTACATTTATTCTGGAATCTTGTGGACTGGTTCCAGTATTTGATGTGATAAATGCTGAGTCATTTCTTGACTGGTTACACAATCTTCTACACTCTACAACTATTGTAAGTAAACATTTGTATAAATATTCATAGTGACATTCTTTTGTAAAATAGTTTGTGTTTGAATAAAAATTAGGTATAAATGCTTTCACTATGTTATGAAGAAATATGTTTGATTTATTGTCATTTACCATATACTTTAAATTTGTAAAAAAGAGGTAAGATACAACTTATGCTCTGTGAACATTTTCGGGAATTATTATGGTATGACTTTGTCCATTTATCAGTACATCAACATTTTAGCTTATAACTAGAGGTCAGATTTTGAACATGAGTCTTATTGTAATACTGTATGCTGTAACATCGCTTTTCATTGGATGATTGTGACATTTTTAGCTCACCTGTCACAAAGTGACAGGGTGAGCTTTTGTGATCGCTTTTCGTCCGGCGTCCGTCCGTCCGTCCGTCTGTCGTCCATCGTCCGTCCGTAAACTTTTACTTTAAATGACATCTCCTCATAAACCACTAAGCCAATTTCATCCAAACTTCACAGGAATGTTCCTTTGGTGGTCACCTTTAAAAATTGTTCAAAGAATTTAATTCCATGCAGAACTCTGGTTGCCATGGCAACCAAAAGAAAAAACTTTAAATATCTTCTTTTAAAAAACCATAAGAGCTAGAGCTTAGATATTTGGCATGAAACATCTTCTAGTGAGTGTCTACCAAGTTTGTTCAAATAAAAGCCCTGGGGTCAAAATTGGCCCCGCCCCGGGGGGTCATTGATTTTCCCTATATGCATATAGTAAAAACTTACAAAATCTTCTTTTAAAGAACCCAAAGAGCTAGAGCTAAGATATTTAGCATGAAACATCTTCTAATGGATGTCTACCAAGTTTGTCCAAATAAAAGCCCTGGGGTCAAAATTGGCCCCGCCCCGGGGAGTCATTGATTTTCCCTAAATGCATATAGTAAAAACTTAAAAAATCTTCTTTTAAAGAACCAAAAGAGTTAGAGCTAAGATATTTAGCACGAAACATGTTCTAAAAAGTGTCTACCAAGTTTGTTCAAATAACAGCCCTTGGGTCAAAATTGGACCCGCCCCAGGGGGTCATTGATTTTCCCTAAATGCGTATAGTAAAAACTTAAAAATCTTCTTTTCAAGAACTCAAAGAGCTATGGCTAAGATATTTAGCATCAAACATGTTCTAATAGGTGTCTACCAAGTTTGTTCAAATAAAAGCCCTGGGGTCAAAATTGGCACCGCCCCGGGGGTCATTGATTTTCCTTATATGTGTATAGCAAAAACTTAAAAAATCTTCCTTGAAAAAACCCAAATAGCTAGAGTTAAGATATTAAGCATGAAACATCTTTTAGTGAGTGTCTACAAAGTTTGTTCAAATAAAAGCCCTGGGGTCAAAATTGGCCCCGCCCCGGGGGGTCATTGATTTTCCCTATATGCATATAGTAAAAACTTAAAAAATCTTCTTTTAAAGAACCCAAAGAGCTAGAGCTAAGATATTTAGCATGAAACATGTTCTAATGGGTGTCTACCAAGTTTGTTCAAATAAAAGACCTGGGGTCAAAATTGGCCCCGCCCCGGGGGTCATTGATTTTCCCTATATGCATATAGTAAAAACTTAAAAAATCTTCTTTTAAAGAACCAAAAGAGTTAAAGCTAAGATATTTAGCATGAAACATGTTCTAATAAGTGTCTACCAAGTTTGTTCAAATTAAAGCCCTTGGGTCAAAATTGGCCCCGCCCCGGGGGGTCATTGATTTTCCCTAAATGCATATAGTAAAAACTTAAAAATCTTCTTTTCAAGAACTCAAAGAGCTATGGCTAAGATATTTAGCATCAAACATGTTCTAATAGGTGTCTACCAAGTTTGTTCAAATAAAAGCCCTGGGGTCAAAATTGGCACCGCCCCGGGGGTCATTGATTTTCTTTATATGTGTATAGCAAAAACTTAAAATCTTCTTTGAAAAAACCCATATAGCTAGAGTTAAGATATTAAGCATGAAACATCTTTTAGTGAGTGTCTACAAAGTTTGTTCAAATAAAAGACCTGGGGTCAAAATTGGCCCTGCCCCGGGGGTCATTGATTTTCTTTATATGTGTATAGCAAAATGAAAAAACCCAAAAGCTAGAGTTTAGATATTAAGCATGAAACATCTTCTAGTAAGTGTATACAAAATTTGTTCAAATAAAAGCCCTGGGGTCAAAACTGGCGTGGCCCCAGGGGTGTCATTGTTTTTAACTATATGTGTATAGTAAAAACTTAAAAAAAATCTTCTTTTAAAAAGCCCAATGAGCTAGAGCTTAGATGTTTAGCATGAAACATCTTCTTATGGGTGTCTACCAAGTTTGTGCAAATAAAAGCCCTTGGGTTAAATTGGCCCTGCAAAGTTGGGGGGGATGGTGGTTTGGGGGTGCCCTATATACAGGTGAGCGACCTCAGGGCCATCATGGCCCTCTTATTATACACATGGCTGCTGTCATATCAAGAAGAAACTTAATCTATTTTTTGCTAAAAGAAGAAGTTTATTAACAAGTTATATGGTTTTAAATAAATGGTTGTTTGCAATTTTACCCTCCCCTAGTGGCTGAGGCTATATATGCAGACAACTGTTTATATAGGGGCATAAAATCTGCCAAAAATCATATCTAATACATTTCTGATAATTTAAATTCCCTTACAAAAAATCTACATGTGATATGTAATGCATCTGTTTCATGTCACTCAGGTTTTCTGATGAATTGCCTCTCTAAATATAAGGTTAAATATTTTATATCTAAAGAAGTACATATATTCCACTTGCTGGCTTCTAAAAAGGTGATTGTTGTATGAAATGACACATTCATATTTGAAAAAATGGTATAGTCATGCACATTGATGCATTGATAACAAAAATATTTGCCAAGAAAAAGCTTCAAGATTTTCATGGCATACTGTGTGCATGTGACTTAGACTTGAACAATTTCAATATTGACGATGATTCCATTATTTTGCAGGGTACCCCAGAGTATTACAAATGTTTGGTGCTAGCAGAAGTTACCTGTCAAGCTATTGTTAAGGATCATACTTCTGTAGATAAACTATCACCTATTGTTGATAAGGTAACATTGTTATATTTGTATATGTACATTTAGTTAAAATATTCAACTTGTTAGCAATAAGTCATTGACAAGTTCTCAACTTTATGGACAAAGTACTAGCCAATGCCGTTTAACTAATAGAGGGTCCTTTGTTATATCTCAAGCAAATAAATGCAGAGAGTGCAATACTGGAATCACTTCGTCTTATCAGTCTATCTCCTCTACAAAATCACTTATCCCTTGAAGGCTTTCATTTAAACTTGTCTCAAATGTTCAGCCTCAACAAGATAATGTGCTGAACTCATGTTGCATATGTGTCACAAATGAAGGTCAAATATCAATTTCTCATCTGCTCCTTAAATTTAATACCCCATGAAGTATTTTTTTTAACCTTAGCTTAAATGTTCATCTCAAACGTGATGTGCAGAACCCGTGCAATTTAAAGACAGAAGTTAATATTGTCATCTTTATTAGGGTTTATTATCCTTAAAGGTTCAGCTTCAATTAAATTACTGTACTTAATTAACTGCTCATTAACTTGTATTATATGTCTTCTAGTTGTGTAAAGAGAATAAGAAGAGCCAGGGGTCAGAGAGTTTGACCTTGACCTATTTCCTGCTGCAGGAAATTTGTAAGGTAAGGGGTGATATTATAGTTTGCAATGTTTAAAAATGTGATTATGCTGATATTTTACTCTAAGTTATATCAACACTTTTCTTTACTATTTTTTGTAGAAAAATGTTTTGTAATGACTAGATTTGGACATAAATTTGATGTTTTGTTTGTTTGTAATTTAACGATAACAATATTGGTCAAACAGAATTTTGTACTTGAAGCATAGAAATGATACATGTCTCATCAATTATTTCATTGTTTTTTGTTTTTATTGATTCATATAAATAAGTTATTAGAATTGATAAAGGAAGTTTGAATTTTAATTAAGTGCCAATATGTGACAGAAATAAAGAATGGGGAGCTACATGTATGTCATCTAGTTTTGCTGGATAGTTGAAATATGATCTTACCAGTGATAGTGTGATAGTAAAGGAGCTCCATTGAGGCCAAAAGCCTAAAAACATAAGGTTTAAAATAATATTTTTATATATCAAAGGAGTCACTTGCAATTATTCTGAAAAAATGGAACTTTGCATACATGTTTTTGGTTTAGGTCTACATTAAAAGGTACACATAACATGTCAAAAAACGTTAGTGGAGTCCCTTTAATAAAAAATATAAGAATGTAAATATTAACTAAAAAGTGATCAGCTAGTTATCATTGTATGTTTTATACTTGCAGCTTTTAAGTAAGCCTTTCTTAAAGGACACTCTCCAGGACTTGTGTAAGAAGATGTATAAATCTTTGTCGAAATCTGTCATCAAATTATCTCCCTTACTTGAATCTTCAACAAGAAATCATATGGAGGCAGTTTTGGTACGGACATATGCTGTTGTACTTACAACCATGCAAAAGTCAGAGAAAATTCAGAAAGCATTTCTCGAGGAGTTTCCACAAATGTTTCAATGGTGTGAAACTACATTACAAAATGTGGTAAGGAGCTAAACTTAAATTCTATTCTGTTTTTAATTTCATAGTTATTTTCTGTCAGAAAAAAAGTAAAAGATGTCTGTATTATTATTTTGTCTGGAGTCAGGCACACATTGATTTATACTATGAACCAGTATGGTATTGGTGTTTTAAAATAAATGTGAATTCCGAAAAGCTCTATGAAAATAGAAAATAAAGCATATAGTTGCCAGTTAATCCATCTTTCTGCCACTCCTCCTTCTTTATCACATTTCTGTTTATTGACTGTTATCTTAGATATTTCATTTGTTGGTTCTTCCCATTTACCTTTACCATTGAATGGAGGTCTAAGACAAAACATAGATTTTCTTATCTTCCTCGTAGCAAGGCCATGTTTTAGCTATGTGTAAAAGCAACATCAGGGATCATTGGATATTACAGATGTGTGTGAAATCTTTTTTGTAACTTACAAATATATTGTAGAGATATTTTTGGCTTTAGCATACCTTCATTTAATAATTGAATACAGTCAGACCTGTGCTAAAGACACACACAAGAAAGACCTTATTTTTCTTGCTGGAATGACTGCATGTCAAGACAACCTATATCTCTCAAAATAATAGTCTAAATAATTTAGTTAGATTTGACAGTGATTGGTGTATTGTCCAGAATATAACATTTTAGTTACATGTATATGATATTGTCTATTTTTAGGACACAACAGAAGTATACGTAGTGCTCTCTGTCCTCATATTTCTGCAGACTATGTCAAAACACCACATCCTACTGAAGCTTCAGCTTACCATTGAAGATAAGTTCAGAATATGGAAACTATTAACAAGTGTCTTGAAAAAAATACTGAGGACACAGTCTATTGAGGAACAGCCACAATCATTAAACCAGTCAATGGAAACGGAAAACCAGTCTCAAAACCTGGATCAGTCTACTGGTAATATAACAGAAAAAGGAACACCAAGCAGCAAATCTCATAAAAAGAAAAGAAAATCTGATAATAAACTTGAAAACCAGTCCAGTGATTCTGTTTCACATGACACTAAAAGAAGTGAGGAACTAGAAAATCAAATGGAAATGATAAGTAAACTACTGCAAGGTTCTTTGGAAAATTCTGAGACCACAGAGAACGCAGTGGATTTAGTTAATGACAAACTGGTAGCACTTGACAGTCCAACTTTTAAAATTGACAATGCTGTGTTAAATCCAACAATGTTGATCTCCCTGTGTAGATCTTTAATGTTTGAAGGTCAGCTAGAGTCACAGAGGTCAAAGGTCATTAAAATGCAAGTGCAGTCTGTACTGGCAGCATTATTGGTGACGTTTGACCTTGACCAGTTTAAAGAGGTCCTGCAGGATTTGGTTGATAGTGTGGTAAGTGTAATTTTTAGCTAATAATTATAACCAGCAGCTGTTTCTATTATGTCTGGCTGTTACAGGCTTGTCCTAGTCATTTTGTTTGAAAGAATGTTAAAGTTAAAGCTGTAGTACATGTAAAATTTGTGAGCTTCTAAACTAATTAAAAAAAATCTAATAACTTTTAATCACTAAGGATTTCCCCAAGGACTTAGGCTTGAATTATTTTAGCAATATAAATTACATGTATTAATAACTTTTAACGAAGTAATAAAAAGAAAGTTAAGGTTGATGACTAAAATATGGTTATTATTCATATTGAAAACACCAATTAAATATTTTACTTCTGTAAAATTAACTTAATTCTCGTAAGATATTCTATGACAATGACATTTTTAATGTTTCAGGATCCAGGTTTACTGTACACAGATAGGGGCAGGATACAGTCAGCTGTTTATATCTGGAGACATCTTATTAAACTAGAATTTACAGATGAACAGAATAAGGTCATCAAGTACACTGCAAAAGATGTAAGATGTCATTATAATTCATAAATGTGTGTTCATCTCTTTGATTAAGATATTTATTGTGAATTATGTCTTCTCCAGAATTTGGAACTGTCCATTGTTTATGTAAATTATTTGAAAATCAAAATCTTACAATTAAGTGAAAAACTCTTTAGATCTTAGTCAAAAAAATAAACAAATGTGTGGATTGAGTTTTGAACTTTAGGCAATTATTTTTGATTTTAGCACAAAGTATTTTTGGAAGTTCTCTTATAGCAACCTTTAGAACATGTCGGATATATCTGGATGGAATAGTATGTATAGTGTAAGACATAAGTTTGAAGTTTTTGATCTCGTTAAAAAATAAACATTCAAAACATTCCCTTAACAATAGTCTGCACAAGAAGTCAGATTTTGATTTTGAATACTTAATCATTTTCTTTCAGATGATGTTAAACTTTATTATTATTTATTATAGATGATGTTAAACTTTATTATTATTTATTATAGATGATGTTAAACTTTATTATTATTTATTATAGATGATGTTAAACTTTATTATTATTTCTTTCAGATGATGTTAAACTTTATTATTATTTATTATAGATGATGTTAAACTTTATTATTATTTATTATAGATGATGTTAAACTTTATTATTATTTCTTTCAGATGATGTTAAACTTTGTTATTATTTCTGTCAGATGATGTTAAACTTTATTATTTTTTATTATAGATGATGTTAAACTTTATTATTATTTATTATAGATGATGTTAAACTTTATTATTATTTCTTTCAGATGATGTTAAACTTTATTATTATTTATTATAGATGATGTTAAACTTTATTATTATTTATTATAGATGATGTTAAACTTTATTATTATTTCTTTCAGATGATGTTAAACTTTATTATTATTTATTATAGATGATGTTAAACTTTATTATTATTTCTTTCAGATGATGTTAAACTTTATTATTATTTATTATAGATGATGTTAAACTTTATTATTATTTCTTTCAGATGATGTTAAACTTTCAGTGTATTATACAGCAAGTACAGTATGTTCAGACAGATGATGTTATTATAGAATTAACTATACCAATACTATATACACAACAAGAGATGCTTACAGCTGGAATTGTGAGTATCTGGGTCAATGATAAATAGTACAATAGATAAGATTTCTAGGTCAGTGTTAAGGGTATTCGTGGCCTTGTGGTTAAGGTCCTTCAAACCACTTGCCCCTCACTGTCAGGAAGCTACACATCTACCTTACAGAATGTCAATGGTTCTACTCGGGTGCCCATTTGTGTCTGAAATAATGTATGGAAGAGCACCTGAGATGTTCTTCCATAGAAGGGTTAACACTGGCCTAAGGTTAAAGAGAATGAAAGAGAATGTAGACTGTTAGATTGCAGGGTCAACAATGAGTATTACATGTTATATCTGAGTCTAGGTTAAATGATATCATTAATATTAAGGCCAAGGTTAAAAATGGGCTTTTTCCAGCTTTTTTTGCGAAAAAGGCCCCAGGCAGAAATTGGGAAATATTATTAAACTGGTGTGATGGGATGAAAATGCCCTGAGACCTGGCCAAAATAAATTTTTGCACATTCATTTAATCCATTGCAATTAACAAAACTTTCATCTGCAAGAATGACTAGCATTTTAAATTTTACAAATGTTACAAAATGAAATATGTATCATTTGCATGCACTTACATTAAATATGATTATTCTATGTTTTATGCAATTTTTGTTTGTTTGATACAAACACATACATTATAAAGAAAAAATGTTTATATATATGTTTCAGAAATTTCTAGCATCAAGAAACAGCATATTATGTATATTCAGTTGTTTGTATACACCATTATGTGGCAGAACGTATTTCCCAGCATTCAATGCTGTATACAGTGTGCTGGACACACTGTTAGTACATCATTGTGACACAGTGTTCCAGAATATACCATCATTCCTAGGCTGTGCCAAACGTATCCTTCATATAATATTTGAGATATTAAAACAGAAAGTCTGTCTAATTATTTCAGTAGGAAAAGAAGTAGTTGTATGGTAAATGTAATATTTTTGTTAAAAATGATGTGTTTTTTAATGCTATTTATCTTTCTGGTTTAAATGATATGTAAAAATCTGAAAGGAGGGTGAACCCTTGGAAGCATTTATCTCAACAAAATAACATGAAAATTGCAGACTCAATTTGATTGAATCTGTACATGAGGGATAATGAAAAAGTACCACATCCCTTGCACCTTCTAGCACCGGCTTGAGCGTTACTCAATTTTCAACACTTAACAGTGCTGAATCAATGATCCTGATGGACCAGAAAATATAAAGCCTGCCTAGTTCATTGGGAGAAACTCAGATTTTAGCAAAATGTTTAAAAATTGGTGTAAAAAACCAAGCTCAAACAAATAATGATTGGTAGTCACTTGTGGAAAACCAGGTTCATGTAATATATGCTGGTACAGATTCCAGGAATACTTGTTCTTTACAGCTTTGAATTATAGTACTGATTTTGATTTCATGCCACATTACCTCAACCATAAACAATAAGAAACATGACTGTGTGTATTTACTAAGTTTATACAAATTTATTTTAGTTTGATTGTGTTGGAAGCTATACACTTCTTGAAACACTGTATCTTGAATATGTTCCTAGAACCAAACAGTACTTATAAATGAATGTAAGGTTTCTTGCTTAAGGTGACAACGGAGTCAATTATCACTGAAAATACCTAAAATGAGATTTTTTGCTAAGTAGATTTATCAACCTTTTCTGAACACATTCGTGATTTAATTTTGGAAGCAGTTAGTCCTAAAAATGTGTTTTGAAACGTTTTAAAACTGTACCTATACTATTTGTATCTGCTGTTCGCGTAACCTGTCGATTATCGATAACGCTTCGCCCCCTGTTGAGGCATCAATGAGGGAAATCGGTAGTTCCATATATCCGTGAATTACAGGTCCATACTGGTCCATACTACTCGTAATACATGTATCGTACAACTACCATACATCTTTTATGAATATCTCAACATTTAGCCTTTTTTATAAATTAAGAAATTGTCGGCCAATGTAGGTAGCATAATGTATGAAACATAAATAATTAAGCATAGCGGCAAATCGCACGACCACATGGTTGATTAAAAATGTAGTTGCTAAAATATCCATAATGTGTGAGAATAATTTGTCTGTCCCGTTAATCTGATAGATATTACATTGAGTTGATATGACTTTTGTACGGATTCAAGGGCTTACTTTACATTCAACCTCGTTTTCTAACAATGTCAAGTAAAACAACAACAAAAACAGACAACATTTTTTATGTGAACGCCTATATGACTTGTGGTAAGGTGTCCCTGACAAATTTCTAAACCATTTTAGATTGTCTAAGGATGAATTATTTCTCTATGAATAAAAAAAGATATTAAAATATATTCTCAGTGAAAATAAAATTGTTCGCCAGTAAATCGGACACAGTACTAATAAATCTGGGACAAAGTATGAAATTTATTGTCTATCCCGGTAGAAACTGGATCTCTATGCCGTGCATAGATGATATTCATGATAATAGAAAGTCAAGAAGGCCAGATCATAATGATCGAGTAATACCTTTCATTTCTATTAAAATATGTGAAGCATTATCAATTTGGTGGAAAAAAAATATAATATCCCGTTCTTATTTGTACATCTACCATGGACTTTTAAAAGACTGTCAGAAGCTCAGTTTTTTGTTATTTTATTTTATATTTTAACGGAATTTCATACAACGAATACACAGGCAGAGTGACACTGGTATAAATACAATAATAATGCTGATGATAATAATAATAAACTTCAAAAAGGAAGCAATTAAATACCCCCGCTAGCGGTGCGCAAATGCGTTCCATTTCCCCCACTGAGTGCCTCAAATTTTACCGATGGTCACGTGACATGTGCGACAGATACCAGACGGACAGTAAATCACGTTAAGAATTGAAGAAATTTCGGCTATAAACTGATATTAATCAGCAGCTTTTTAATTGGTCAGATGTCACTGGGTCATAAAATGTTGTTAAACAGTATGTTATCGCAACTTGTGACCCTCTCTGGGTGCGATATTTGTGTATTATGCAATTATTTAGCGTGAAACGTAGGGGTCCGAGACAGAACAGCCGATTTATGACACTTTGTTTGATGCGGGTCGGACTAACTTTGAATCGGCATAACTTTTTTAATAATCAAGCAATTAACATGCGGTTTAAAGTACATGAAAGGAAATTCATTTACGGAGGGAACCGTGTCAGGGATTTTTTCGTTTGCTCAATCAGCGACTTAATTATCTTTAATAACGTAATATGTATGGTGAAAAAAGTCGCATAAAATGTTTGACGTTACGTTTTTTTTAAATTTTTTTTTGAGAAAAGATAGAAAAAATTTGAGACACGGTTCCCCAAATAATATAAGTATGGTTATTATCCCCTGCCGAAAATTTTCGGCGGAGGATATAGAAATAGTCTCCGTCCGTTTGTCCGTCCGTCCGACCTTCCGTCCGTCCGTCCTTCCGTCCGAAATTTTTGTCCGGAGCATATCTCTAAAAGTATTTGAGTTATCAACTTGAAACTTCATAGGTGGATAGACCTCATTGAGGAGGAGTGCAGTGCACAAGAATGATAACTCTACCTTGCATGATTTTTGAGTTATTGCCCTTGTGTTATTTTCAAAATTGATTTTTGTCCAGAGCATAACTCCAAAAGCCCTATGAGATATTAACATGAAACTTCATAGGTGCATAGATCTCACTCAGGAGGTGTGCAGTGCACAAGAATGATAACTCTTCCTTTCATAATTTTTGAGTTATTGCCCTTTGTTATTTTTCATACCTAATTTTTACACCTGAGTGGAGCATAACTGCAAAAAAGTGTTTGAGATAATCAACATGAAATGTCATAGAAGGATAGATCTATGAGGAGGAATGTTGTGCGCAAGAATGATAACTCTTCCCTATACAATTTTTGAGTTATTGCCCTTTGTTTTTTTTTCATGCTATTTTTGTCCAGAGCTTATCTCAAAAAGTATTTGAGGTATCAACTTGAAACTTCATAGGTGGATGGATCTCATTTGAGGAGGAGTGCAGTGCTAAAGAATGATAACTCTGCCCTGCATTATTTTTGGAGTTATTGCCCTTTGTTATTTTTTCAAAATTAATTTTTGTCCAGAGCATAACTCAAAAAGCCTTTGAGATATCAAAATGAAAAACTTCATAGGTCTCACTCAGGAGTGTGCACTGCACAAGAATGATAACTGTACCTTTTATAATTTTGAGTTATTGCCCTTTGTTATTTTCATACTTAATTTTTCAATTCAATTTTTTCTCAAAAAGTATTGAGGTATCAACTTGAAACTTCATAGGTGGATAGATTTTTACTGAGGAGGGATGCAGTACACAAGAATGATAACCTACCCTGCATTATTTTTCAGTTATTGCCCTTTGTTATTTTCAGCCATCAGTATTCACATAGGTTTCAAATCTGTAATCACTATAGCCATCAGTTTTCATTACCAAAAGACCTCTTAAAATGGAATTATTGTGCTCTACTACATATACATTCTTCCAATGAGCAAACACATTCGGCGGGGGATGGCCATGTTGACATGGCTCTTGTTTTCCAAAAGTTTGATGACAAAAAAATAAAAAATGACTTTGATATGACGATTTAAAATTTTAGGATTTTTATTAAAAATCAATCATTTACAAAGGCATTTTTTTTCAAATGTTATTTTTTATGATGATCAAAGACATTTAATGCACAAAGATTAAATAAATAACAATTATTACTGAAATAACTTGGTTTAAATGACATTTATGTGAGTACCACGGAAAGTGTCTGTTGTCACCTTGAGGAAAAAACAGCTTGTTCCTGACAGAGTTTGAACCCACACAGTCAGCAATCCTTAGATTACTAGTTCCCATGCATTTACCACTCAACCAACCACAATCAATGTGTATTAATTATTAAATTTTATAAATTTTGTGATTCAGTATTTCACCTTAACTTGATGATAAGGTTTATTATTATCAGTGGTAGAGGAGTCAAACCAGGACAAGATCTCCCAGCAACCAGATGTCGTCAAACAACTGATGTCATGTGCTTATCACATGGAAAGGTAACTTTGAAACCACTGCTATATATGGGATCATTTATACAAGAACTAAAGTGAAAGAAATTTATACCTATAACATTTATCCAGGGTTTTTCAAATGGAATTTGAATTTAAAAGACCCTGATTTATCAAAAAAGCCAAAAAGACCAATGTAAAATAAGAGATATTTTGTGAAGGATTATATTTTGATTATTTCTTGAATTGGAGATTGTCATGAGAAAAAAATGTTTGGTATATATCTACCATAGTAACTGAACTGAAAGCAGACATTTGCTAATAGTTGATCTTGCCAGTTAGTCAGAAATGTTGATTTTGTGAAATTTTATCATAGGGAAAATGTTCTTTTTACAGTAGTTGGTGAAGGTTTACTATTTATAATTAACTCTGACTTCTTAAATATGGAACATGCATATTTAATTGATACCCTTTATGAGCAGGCACTTTATGAAGAGTGGTCCTTTAAATTATTGTGCCTTATTTATGCATGTAAATCTAAATCTGTTATAAGCAGATTTTTTACAGAATGTTAATTCTCCATGCTGACATTCAGTAGAAATAATCAAAACTTACAAGACATGGACTGTGTATATTTTTCAGATTATTTTCATTGATCTCGACTCACAAGGTGGAGTTTGGTAAAGTTGCAATATATGTTGTGTCTGATTATGTGACAGCTGTACAGAAAGTTACTCTACTTCCTGCCATAAAGGTAAATAAATACATTCGTCTGTCAAATTACCTATGTTTTGTCTGGGTTTCATAAAATGCAGAATATAGTGTTCAGATGATTTTAGAGATTTTTTGTTGTACTTAATTTGTTAAACTTTGAAATTAACTAAATTTTTAAGACTTTGAAATTGGATTTATTTGTTATTGAATAATATGTCATTCAAGATAATTATATCAAATTTATGGTCTTATGGTCAACAGAAGAACTGATTAGTACAGAATTGGAGGTATTAATTACTGCACAATATATCTACTGTCTAAAACTTTTTATTGGTTTTAGAAAACTTTTTTACATGTCTCGATCTTATTTCTTTCATATACAGACTCTTGTATGAGAGGGGACAAAGGTTACATTCACATTTTAATTAAGATTAACAGCACAGTTGGTTGTGAAGTCAACTATAAACATGTGCACTATATACAGAACTACATTTGAGCAGTTATTTTTGGTCATGGAAATGTAACTGGCACATTATTTTATTTTACAGAGAGCACTTGTTCCAGCAGTGTACAAGATGTTAGACTTGTGTGATAAACATGCTATATCACAATTACATGTGGTGCTCAGTCACGGTGTAACAGAGGTGTTCAGACTTCTATATAAGGAGTACAAGAGGTTCTACAAGTACCAAGGGAAAATTTAACCATGTGGTGCTAACTCGCATATAGTAACAGAGGTTTTGTGTTCAGGATCCTTGTCAAAAATCCATCCGGTTCGGTCCGGTGAAAATAATACCAGGTAGTGGTCAGTCACAGAATAATGTAAAAGAAGTCTTAAAAAAACTGTTCTTATGTGGTGCAATAAAAATTGTAGTTGCTGATGCACAGTAGCTGAGTAAGAGAAGACTTTTTTCATGACAAATACAGGAGAGTACTACAGTTATGTAACTTTGATGATCAGACTGTTTAAAGATTAATACAAGGAATACAATAAATATTCTAGTGGGTCAAGTGCCTGCCTGTTAAGCAATGGACTGTTGGGTTCATATCCAGCTGGAGCTGCCAATATGATTCCTCATTCGACATCAATGCTGGTTAGTTGGACACCAGTACTGGTTAGTTGCAGGAAACAGACAAAAAATTGGCCTTCAGAATGGTTTATATAAGCTACATGCTTTCTTCTAAGTAGCACAAAATTAATACATGTGTAGTTTTAAAATTATACATATAGATATAAGGAGATAATGTGACTGCATGGATTAGTCTGTGTGAGATCGGAAAGAAAACTATAAAGTTTACTCAAGTGTTGCAGCTACTGTACTTACTATATCTTTGATAAAAGTTACCACTGACACAGCTTTATTAGTTAAATACAAGCTTGTTTGTACAACTATATTATTGATCTGTTAATATACATGTATGCATAGATCTTACAGAAAAAATTTAGTGTGTACTTTTTAAATTGTGTACATAATTTATGAAAATTTTAAGAAGATTTTAGAGTCTAGTCTGTGTTGGTAGGCTTGTTATTATTAAAGAGATTTTATGTTACTTTATGAAATTACAGTGAACCATATTGCTGTACTAAACTCTGGTTGTTGAAGAATAAAGATACCTAAATCTACAATGGTTTCATTATATTTAAATATATGTGCAAGTCCTACAACTTAACTCTTTTTTTATGAATTTTATGCAAAATGTTAAAAATTTAATTGCTTGAAGCATAGTTTTAAAGGTGTGACAGCTAGCTCAGTTAGCCAGGTAGTAAGAGAGGCAGGCATTGTTCATCATCAGTCCTGGATGCAACACATGCTGTATTTTAGACAATTTAATGGAAGATAATGTTGATTGCCATTTTTCCATGTCTGACTTTAGTAACACGGGAACACTCCTATCTTGCAGTATATGGCTTAATCACTTGAATAAATTGATGCTAAAAATTCAAAACCTGAAGAAACTCATCGTGTAAATACAATTTACATCTGTAGTAATATGCGTAAAAACAATGGCTGAGTGGTTAAGGTCTTTCCCTTCAAACCACTTGCCTCTTGTAGATTCAAGCCATGCAAGTGTTGTTGGATTGTACAAAGCTGTCCAGCTAGCTTATGGAACATAAGTGGTTCTTATCAGGTGCCTGTTTGTGTCTGAAATAATGTACAGAGGGGCACCGGAGATCTACCTCCACCGGTAAAGCTAGAAAGTCGCCAGATGACTTGTATTGTGTTGATGCATGGTAAAACCCAAACAAAGAAATAGTAATTGGATGTTGCTGTTTATCTGTTTGTAAGATAATAAAAATCCTGCCAAAAAATCCCAACTCAAAAACATAATATCTGCAAATTACTGTATAGAAATAGATCTGAAATTCAAAACTAGACCTCTAAATATGGCAGTTGAATTAAAAGGGAACACTTTATTCTATTTTCATATATAATTCATTGCTTGTTAAATGACAAATTTTGATCTCACAGGTTAGTTTTTTAAATATCTTTATCACATTTAAATTGCCTGCAGTGGCTGTTCACCCTTTAAAACGACAAAATCGTACAAGAGAAGGCAGTACATTTATCACCATATTCTCTTTATTGTCAAAATTTACAAATTTTCCACATGAAAGCTTCCAATTGCTTCTCCCATCTTACTTTGATGTGTTTTTTTTCTCTTCCAATTCCATGAACAACACAGTTTCATCAAACTTTTTCCTTGTATCTCTATTACACACATTTTACTTCTCTCAGCTTCCACTTATGTCCAATTTATTCTGTCTAATGTCATGTATAGTTTTAACTTACTGTTGATCAAGGAAATACTTAAAATTTATTTCCTTCAATTTTAATCTTATCAAACATAACAGATGTAGAATTTTATTTAAATTTTCAGGGGATTCATGAATGTTTTCTAAATTCTTTACTCTTATAATACCAGAAAAAAGAACACAGTTTTGAACACTTGATACCGGATCTTATCCTGATTTTAGTGAGTTTATATCTAGTTCTGGTTCATCTCTAATATTTGCTTCAGTTGGGCCTCTTTTTTGTACTTGATCGGCTGTTTGTTCTGAAATATCGAGTTTAAAATAAATCATTGGACAATATTAAATTTGTGTGGATTCTTTACTAACTAGTTGAATAAGTATTAAGCGAGATTCATACATATTTAATCAAATTATATATTAATTTTGATATAATAACTACCTTATAGTACATTACTACATGTAGATGTTATATAATTGAGCCGTGTCACGACAAAACCAACATAATGGGTTTGCGACCAGCATGGATCCAGACCAGCCTGCGCATCCGCGCAGTCTGATCAGGATCCATGCTGTTCGCTATCAGTTTCTCTACTTGTTATAGGGTTTGTAAGCGAACAGTATGGATCCTGATCAGACTGCGCGGATGCGCAGGCTGGTCTGGATCCATGCTGGTTGCAAACCCATTATGTTGGTTTTGTCATGACACGGCTCAATTAACTCTTCACAATTTACAAAGTAAATAACTTACAGGTTTAGCTGCCCTTTTACACAAAAACTCCCACACCCACCAATGCATCTGAAAATAGCAAAATGGCAAACCAAAGTAATTACTCTTGCTATTTTTCAGAGATTAACAATAAATCTATACATAGGATCTTACACTAGTGGTCTTATTATACTGACTTGCAGTAAATGATATTAGGAAAATGTTATAAAGCTAGTCTATGGTGATAACATTTCTAAAGACAAGTATATGCAAGTCTATATAAATATGAATAATAATGAAAATGCAAAAAAAGTCAATAACGGAAACAAAAACAGCAAAGTTAACTGTTTGTTTATACAAGCATTTCCAATAACTTTACATGAGGTTGATGCCCACATGATGATTTCACAAGTAGGATAATTATAAAGAATTACTAAATAGTTTAACAAAATGATGTCATGTGTTCAAATTCAGTTCAAAATTTCAGATATATACATATTAGTACGAATATATTCTCACCTTTAGATCTATAGGTAATGCAAGGCCTTGAACTCTATACACCTTTCCAAACATGTCGCTCTCTACTTGATGAACCTTTAAACAGTACAATATAATACAACAACCTCCAAAAAATAAAATTACTACCAGTCTTGGCAGTGAGTTGCCCAAATGGGTTTCTGCAGAAGACTTTATATACTGTAAACATGTATTAAATCAAACTGTCACAATAGCTCTCCACTTAACAGATGCTGATAGTTGATGATTTAAGTCATGTTTCAGTTGTAAAAATAATCAAATTGATTCAAAATTTGAAGAAAAAACAAGAGCTGTCGGTAGGACAGCAACGCTCGACTATTCTTAGTGCTTGATAGTAAAAAAAATGCTTGATACAGTTACCTCCTCCTGTTTACAGGTTGGGGTCATGATGGTGAACAAGTGTGCAAAGTTTCAAAGCCATATGTCAATGGACTTTGAAAATATTTGAACTATTACAAAAACTTTAACGTAAATTCTAAGTCGAAAAAGGGGCATAATTCTGTCAAAATGCTTGATAGAGTTACCTCCTCCTGTTTACAGGTTGGGGTCATGATGTTGAACAAGTGTGCAAAGTTTCAAAGCCATATGTCAATGGACTTTGAAAATATTTGAACTATTATAAAAACTTTAACGTAAATTCTAAGTCAAAAAAGGGGCATAATTCTGTCAAAATGCTTGATAAAAGTACCTCCTTTTGTCTACAGGTTGGGGTCATGATGGTGAACAAGTGTGCAAAGTTTCAAAGCCATATGTCAATGGACTTGGAAAATATTTGAACTATTACAAAAACTTTAGCATAAATTCTAAGTCTAAAAAGGGGCATAATTCTGTCAAAATGCTTGATAGAGTTACCTCCTCCTGTCTACAGGTTGGGGTCTTGATGGTGAACAAGTGTGCAAAGTTTCAAAGCCATATGTCTATGGACTTTGAAAATATTTGAACTATTACAAAAACTTTAACATAAGTGGTTACGCCGACGCCGACGCTCCGGTGACTGCAATAGCTCTACTTATTCTTATCGAATAGTCGAGCTAAAAACTAAACAGAATGAAGTTAACTTACCGATGTAACAGAATATCTATGTATCTGTGAGGTATTGCTGATGAGGGGACCCTTGTTGAAGTCCACATAGTCTCCCATACGATACAAGCTGATTGAATCCCTCCCTGAATTATCCAACAACTGTTTTAGAACCTTTGTCTTGTATTTATTATCCTCAAACATTTTTAGAGCAACATCACCACTAACATCTAGCGGTTCAAAATCCAAATTTTTCATCCATATGCATCCTCCAACTCGGCTTAAGCAATTTAATTCCATCTAAAAATATTCAAAATGTTTTCATTGAAATTTGTTCAAAGTAGCTTTCTCCACCCCACTGTCACACAACAAGAAGCAAAATGCATGGCCTTAAAACGATACTAGTAGTTGTGTAAATTTTTTCACATTTACAATTTTTCAATATACTGTACTTAATTATTTAACAAATAGAAATTATTAGTCCAAAAACTAAAATACACCTAATGCCCAGATATTTTTTTATTTATAACACGATAAAGATTCTTCTTCTCAAGGTCAGAGTTCAATTATCATGAATAATTCATACATGTTCTATGATAAGTGTTGTTTTTTCCACATTTAGGGGAATGATGTGTCACGGAGGGGAGAAAGGGGAAAGTTAGAAACGAATAAAGAAAGGATAAAGTTAGAAACGAATAAAGAAAGGGGAAAGTTAGAAACAAATAAAACAGTCAATTTTTTTTTTTGTCAAATTGTAAAATAATATCATTAGTTTTATTTCTTAGGTCAAAAACTAAAATACACCTAATGCCCAGATATTTTTTTATTTATATCACAAAAAGATTTTTTATTCTCAATGTCAGAGTTCAATTATCATGGACAAATCATACATGTTCTATGATAATTTTCATACTCCAGTGTTGTTTTTTCCACATTTGGGGAATGATGTTTCACAGAGGGGAGAAAGGGGAAAGTTAGAAACGAAAAAAACAGTCAATTTTTTTGTGTCAAATTGTGAAATAATATCATTAGTTTTATGTCCTACTCTCATTATTGTGATAAATGGTCTAAAAAAAGGAAAATATAAAAAAAATTTATTGGAAGGGATTTTTTTTTTCACAAGATATATACTGTACATTATATAATGCGTCACAAAATTTTGTGAATGTCAAAAAGTGGACTTTTGTGTGCAAACGTTATTCACCTATTTCATACTTGGGATCAAATAACAAGAATTTTACCTGTGTAGGTTTCCAGTCAGGTATATCAATATTTACATCATACAAAAAACAGCCATGTTCAACTGAAATATAAATAAATATTATGTTTGATAAATTCTGTAATCCATTTAAACATGTATCAAAGTAAACATATATTACCTGAACTCCCTCAATAATTTTCTATTACTTTAAATAATACCTTTTTTTTTTTTTTTTTGGTAAAACATCACAGAAGACAGGTCATAAAGATCAGTGAATGAAAATTAACAAACATTTTAATAAAAGGTATAAATTATTAACACTACAGTAGTTCTATGTACAGTTAGGTAACATAATTTCATATCACTTTTAAATTATTCCGACAATGAAACATGGATAGCAACCTTGACTATTTTCAATGCTTGATCATATACAGGAAATTTCCTGTTCATTGAGTAAAATGATTCAATAACAAGAGCTTTCAGTAAGACCAAAGTGTTACACCAACACTGATTCCTGGGTGCATAGGATAGTCCTAATATACATTGATTAGGTGGCTAAAATTAACGCCAGCTTTTAAAGCCCTGCTCACTGACCTTCAGTTATGATCTCAAAGGCAAATGTGAAGAAAATAACCAGCGCTTTTTGGAGGGAAAAAGTTCCCTGCAAAACCGTAACCACCTAACATATATTTTTGAAAAATTCTTTCTAGATTAATGAGATTTGATGAGTCACCTACACTTATGACACTTTACATGACTGTACAAACACTTCCCCTGATGAGCTACTGTAATCATTATGCGGCTGTTATTGTTACAATATAAATTGTTACAGTATAAATGTGAAGACCAGGTTACCTTTTGTTCTTGGGTAATCACACAACTCTACACAAACATTATCTTTGAAAGCTGTGTCAAAAATATATCCTAATACAAATGATCCTGTTCTCCAAAATGCCTGTAGAATAAATAAAACAAAAATATTTGACAGCTATATTACCCAAGGCGTTGGAAAGCACTGGTTATTTTTAGAAACAATATACTTGAAATACTATTTGAGTTTAAAATAATATTTTTTCTTAAAAAATTATGTGAATATTGCAAAAATTTTACAAATGAAATAATCATAAATGTAAAATGCTACTGTAGGTGTGTAAAAAATCAAAATGATACAGTAGTTGTTGTGTCTTCCATTTTATTGCATTGTTAAACATACTTCTTTTACTCCTGTATAGGCAAGCTGGTCTAAATTCTTTGGATATTAAATACATGTATATTACCTTGATAGTAACCAAATTTATGGAAATTATGGAGTTTACTTTATTTCTTAAATATTTTTTTATAATCTTGATGGTTAGTATCAGAATATCAAAAAAAAATGTATTTAACAATGTCCAGTCTGATTAAACAGACTCTATTCTGTCAGTACATTAACCTTTGTATTTTAATGTTGAATCCTTTCAACTAATAGTGGCAAATTCCAAACCAACAAGGTAAGTTGAATTATACAACTGCATATCAGTTTAAAGATTAAATAAAAATATATGAGCCGCGTCACGACAAAACCAACATAATGGGTTTGCGACCAGCATGGATCCAGACCAGCCTGCGCATCCGCGCAGTCTGATCAGGATCTATGCTGTTCGCTTACAAACCCTATAACAAGTAGAGAAGCTGATAGCGAACAGCATGGATCCTGATCAGACTGCGCAGACTGGTCTGGATCCATGCTGGTCGCAAACGCATTATGTTGGTTTTGTCATGACACGGCTCATATTTCAATACATACATGATTAGAAACTGCTGGATCTTCATCTAGCATATGTTTTAACTGTAGATCACAGTCATCCACTAGAGGGCGATGCATGTCCCACGGTTCACCATCAACTAAAGCTACTACAGATCGCTTCATCAGAAACTCACTTATGTCTGCAAGGAAAATAAGAGATCATAAATAATACATAAAGAGAATCTGAAACTTAATGTTATTTTTTTATTACTTCAGTATTTTGAAAATATTGCCCATACCCTTGATATAGATAATTTTAGCAGTGTATTGATCATGTTATCTACATTACGTAACTGTGAATATGTGTTGCAAACCAAAAACCACAGGCAGGGAGTTAATGCTAAGGTTTTAAAACATATTTACATTAAAAGGTAACTGTTGTAAGATCCTACATCTCTATGATTTCACCTAAATTTTAACTTTTTTTCTTCAAAATTTATATGTCTATTTGGAAGCATAAATCTTTATAACAGTTACAGACAACAGCACACACTTTTCTGTATTTACTTACGCATGGCACAGTTATATGGAGTTGAAACATGTTTATTCATTAGTAACTCTACATTTCCCTCTCCCTCCCTGATTTCAGGATGACCACTGTATTTCACAGATATTTTTTCCAAGCGTTTTATGAACGATAATTGTTTAGCTTTCTCCTCTTCAAAAATAGCATTTCTTTTCTTCCTGAGCTCTGCATTTGTAAGCTTTCCTGAACTAGAACTGTAGAAACCTGTCAATATAATAAACAAGAAACTGATGATGTTATGTATAACAACCACTCCTGGATTTATTATTTCAAACAGCATTATACATAATCTTCATTCAGAAAGCAGTGATAAGACAAGATATTTTTGTTGTTCATTATGACAGGATCATGAGGATGTACAAATGTAACAAGGGTGCCATAGTCACAAAATACGCCCGTTTACGAAAGCTTTAGATGGAGATGGGGGCATTATGGATAAGTGTTATCTAGCAAGCAAGTTTTTATTCTTGGCACTGTGTTGTTAAATGAACCTTAAAACAAATCAGTAGGGAAGATATGCACAGGATGTGTGACCTTGACCTTGGTTGCAGGGACCTGAATTTTATGCACGGCACTCAGCCTCACAATGATGAACATTTGTGCCAAATTATATTGAAATCCCTCTATGCATGTAGAAGTTTTGCTCCAGACAAGCGTTTTTCTATGAGCTCTAACTGTGACCTTCACCTTTGACCTAGAGACTTGGTTCATGTGCAGGGCACTACGTCTCATGGTGGTGAACAATTCTATAAAGTAACATTAAAATTCCTCCATGCATGTAGAAAATATGCTCCGGACAACATCTGGATATTTAATCATCTCCAGTGACCTTGACCTTGCAAATATTAACCTAAATTAAATGTGTCACACCTGTAGTCATGATAGTTACCATTTGTGCTACAATCCATCAATAAATGATGACTAAATGGTCCCTATACACATCTTCAAATTTTTATCTGAACTTTGACCTCTATGTGTAACCTTGACTTTGGTCGCAGGGATCTGAATTTTGCGTGCGACACTCAGCCTCACAATGGTGAACATTTGTGCCAAGTTATATTGAAATCCCCCTAAGAATGTAGAAGTTTTGCTCCGGACAAGCGTTTTTCAATGAGCTCTAAGTGTGACCTTGACCTTTGACCTGAAGACCTGGATCATGCATGGAGCAATACATATCATGGTGGTGAACATTTCCATAAAGTATTATAAAAATTCTTCCATACATGTAGGAGATATGCTCCAGACAAAATCTGGATATTTCACCATCTTTAGTGACCTTGACCTTGCATATATTGACCTAAAGTACATGTGTCACAGCCGTAGTCATAATAATGACCATTTGTGTTACAATCCCTCAATAAATGATGATTAAATCGTCCCTATACACATCTTCATATTTTTATCTAAACTTTGACCTCTATGTGTGACCTTGACCTTGGCTGCAGGGACCTGAATTTTGTGCACGACACTCCGCCTCACAATGGTGAACATTTGTGCCAAGTTATATTGAAATCCCTCTATGCATGTGGAAGTTTTGCTCCGGAAAAGCGTTTTTCAATGAGCTCTAAGTGTGATCTTGACCTTTGACCTAGAGACCTAGTTCATGTGCGTTACATGGCTTCTTATAATGGTGAACATTTCTATGAAATTTCATTAAAATCCCTCCATGCGTGTAGGAGATATGCTCCGGACAAAATCTGGATATTTCATCATCTTTAGTGACCTTGACCTTGTATATATTGACCTAAATTATATGTATCACAGCCATAGTCTTGATAATGACCATTTGTGTTACAATCCCTCAATAAATGATGACTAAATGGTCCATATACACATCTTCATATTTTTATCTGAACTTTGACCTCTATGTGTGACCTTGACCTTGGCCGCAAGGACCTGAATCTTGCGCGCAACACTCCGCCTCACAATGGTGAACATTTGTGCCAAGTAATATTGAAATCCCTCTATACATGTGGAAGTTTTGCTCCGGACAAGCATTTTTCAATGAGCTCTAAGTGTGACCTTGACCTTTGACCTGGTTCATGTGCGCGACACTGCTCCTCATAGTGGTGAACATTTCTATGAAGTTTCATTAAAATCCCTCCATACATGTAGGAGATATGCTCCGGACAAAATTGGACGACGCCAGCCCGCCCGACCGCCAGGGGCGTTCCCATAATACGTCCCGTTTTTCAAACGGGCGTATAAAAAGTGACAAAATTTTATGTGACAAGCTTAAGTTATGATGCATATTACAATGATGCATCACCTTTCAAATCATGTTGCTGAATTCTAAACTTAGAAGTTAGAATGAGCATTGTTCAAACTGTAACCAAGGTTCTTCTATTGTCAGGCATGATGCCATCAAATTGCAAGTAAATTAATGTAGCTTCTTAGACTGAATCTTAAAAGAAACAAAATTATTAATAGATATATTGTTTTTAAAACCAAAGAAAGTTCAGTTATTTTTAATGTCACTATCTGAACAAGAAACAAAATTATGCATATGGCCAATCCCCCTAATACCTGTAATCGGTAATAAGAATGAGTAACCATCACGAAATTTCTCAGAGAAACTGATGATGTAAAGGTATGAATAATGTGTTTATGAATGAGGAAAAAAGTACATAATTATCTTTTAAAAATAGAATGTTAAAATCAATTTTTACAAAGCCCACAAAGTTTGTGGTATGAACACCATGACTACTGCGGTGAGTTTCTACTTCATGGCGGCAGTTTGCCTTGAATTGTTTTATAAATCATTTTGCAAAAGATTGAGGCAAATCACCAGTTATTAATTATGATTATGTTGATGTACTCGCATGAAAATATATTAAGTCTGTTTTTGTAGAAGAAAATCAGTTTTTTTGACTACAAATGTGTAAATAAGTCAAAGGAAATTAAGAAAAAAATCAAATACTTGTGAATTGACAGCACATCATTAGAATAAGTGAAAACCAATGTGGATGATTTTAATCCATTATTGAAATGAAGCAATGTTTTATTTTAAGTATTTAAATCCTTTTTCTTCAGAATAAACCCCAAAACAAATTGTAATTAACAGGGTATTCAGGTGTTTTTTTTGTGTTTTTTTTTCACAATGTCATGTACAGATGCACCAACAAATAATGACATGCCATAAGTAATAGTTATAGTACATGAAACGAGTTAGTTACGAGGATATAACACTGGCTGGGGCGACATCAAGTGGTGTTTCTGCTAAAAAATGGCGAGGCCGTTTGGCCGAGACAATTTTTTTTGCAGAAACATCCCGAGATGTCGCCCTAGCCAGTGTTATACCCTCGTAACTAACGAGTTTCATATACTATAACTGTTTTATCGCAATGGCATAATGTTTTTTTTCTTCCTTTTTTTGTAAAAGAAATAAATAAATAAATCGTTAACTACATTACAGTTATTTATGATAAGGCAGTTTTTCGAGTTCTTTTCGCTGCCGCAAAAAAAAAAAATATATATATATATATATACAAAAGACATCCAATGTTAGAGGCGGATTGTAAACTGTTATACCAAGATTGATTCAAGATAAAATGGGGCTTTTTCAGTGGAAATAATTCATTCAGCTGATGTAGCTTTTGATTAAATGAGAGTAAATTTCATTCATTAATTATTTTTGTTTATATTTTTCATTGTATTTATATATTTATTTTATTTGATTGATTTCATTTATTTATTTATTTTTTTTTTTTTTGCTGCTGGGAATGGTCGTTACCACTGCCCCATTGGAGCCTCTATGAAAAAACTGTATTGATATATACAAGGTGCGAAAAAAACTTGACCGATATATAACAGTCGAGTTTTTTCCCTATATGATTCAATGAAAAAACTGTACTGTTATATATCAATACAGTTTTCAAATGCTCATTGAAGTGTACTGAGTATAATGGGTTGGTAAGAACAAAAGAAAAGTTCCAAACCATGCGATAATTGAATGATAATAATCCAACAAAAATATTTTTCTTTTGCTTGTAACTTAGAGAAGCTGTGAACAATTATTAAACTCTGCAGTACGGAATTATGGCAATCGCTGCCTATTTACATTTAAATTTCTTGGTTAGGGATTCGTTTTTTATTTCTTTGGTAAGTATATATGTTACATTACAAATGAGGAATTTAAACTTTTTAAATTTGAAATAAAACTTAAATATTTATTTATATTATTAAATTTAAAGTTGAAGTATTTGTTTTGTTTTGCATGTTTATGCAACATGCTTGTACTTTGCAAGACTGCAAAAGTGTACATATATATATATACAAAAATTTATTTTCATGTGAACGCAGCATCATGGTGAGTTTCGGTGGAAGAATCACGATAGGTGGAAATTAACTTAATATTCACAACATATTTTTACTGGTTGCACATTTTGCGTGTCCAGTACTGATGTTAGGACACAGAATAATATAAATATTAAAGATGTTATGACAGGACAGCATTGTTGGTATTTCATTTTCTTTTTTTTTTGGCAATAAATACCTTTTAAAGTTAGAAGACGGATGGCTGTTGTCAGATAACAAATGATATTAAAATCTCTTGATGCATGACAGAGTTATGGGCCGAACAAGATTTTCTGACTGCTGAAATTCTGACCCCTATTAAAATTGTTATCTTGACACACTGTCTCTTCATGCTCCCTTTGCCATTATCATGGTTGGGCATTAAAAGTTATACTTAGCTGTGAATAAGCTGATAAGTTTTCACACCTTTTCTGTGCAATTTTTATTATCATTATTGCGTGGGAGTAACATGCTGTAACATGTGATATGTATGATAGGTGGCAGCACAGGCATGTTTGTTTCATATAAATGTAAACAAGGAACATCGCAATGCGATGCAACCAGGTTTTCAGCAAAATATTTCACAGAAGCTTTGTCATGAAGGGGCATTTGTTTTTAATTGAACTTTTAGGAGGAATTATGGCTTTTTTAATATTCCTCAAACAAAAATGATTGAGAAATTTTATGTTGTCTATTCGCCTTTTTTTCCCAAATGTTTTAGAAAGGTAAACAGTACTTTATTTTTGCTTAATTTTTGCATTTTTGCGTCTCTTGTCATTTTCTTTTGTCAACAATATTGGCGTGTGGTGTTTTGTGCGATATCAAGAAAAGTATGTTCACAATTTTAAAAAAATACTTGAATGATGTCTTGGTAGAAACATGGGAATTTAGTGAGCGCCAGGGCACTTGATGACAAAGCTTCTGTGAAAGTTTGGTCAAAATCCATTGAGAAATGTAGGAGAAGTTGCGCACTGTACAAATTGTTCACTATATATTCTGTATAAGGAAAAAATATACAAAGGGCCATAATTCGGTCAAATATTATCCAATCACAAAACCCCGACAATATGTGCCAGGCACTTGATAACAAAGCTTCTAAGAAAGTTTGGTCAAAATCCGTTGAGAAATGTAGGAGGAGTTGAGCACAGAAGAAATTGTTCTCTATATATTTTGTATAAGGAAAAAATATACAAAGGGCCATAATGCGGTCAAATATTATCCAATCACAAAACCCCGACAAAATGTGCCAGGCACTTGATAACAAAGCTTCTAAGAAAGTTTGGTCAAAATCCGTTGAGAAATGTAATAGGAGTTGTGCACAGAAGAAATTGTTCACTATATATTCTATATAAGGAAAAAAAACAAAGGGCCATAATTAGGTCAAATATATACCAATTGCAAAACCCTGGCAATATGTGTCAGGGCACTTGATGACAAAGCTTCTGAGAAAGTTTGGTCAAAATCTGTTGAGAAATGTAGGAGGAGTTGCGCACAGAAGAAATTGTTCACTATATATTTTATATAAGGAAAAAAAACAAAGGGCCATAATTAGGTCAAATATTATCTAATCGCAAAACCCCGACAATATGCGCCAGGGCACTTGATAACAAAGCTTCTAAGAAAGTTTGGTCAAAATCCGTTGAGAAATGTAGGAGGAGTTGTGCACAGAAGAAATTGTTCACTATATATTCTATATAAGGAAAAAAACAAAGGGCCATAATTAGGTCAAATATATACCAATTGCAAAACCCTGGCAATATGTGTCAGGGCACTTGATGACAAAGCTTCTGAGAAAGTTTGGTCAAAATCTGTTGAGAAATGTAGGAGGAGTTGCGCACAGAAGAAATTGTTTACGCCCGCCCGCCCGCCCATCCGCCCGCCCGCCCGCCCGCCGACATACCTCAATCTAATAACCAGTTTTTTCCTTCGGAAAACCTGGTTAAAAAGCATTTCCCAAAAATTATTAAATTGCACATATAATTATAAACTGATCTAATGATTGATTAAATGTTCAAATAAAATATCATTTAAATTAGTTGTTAATACGCGGAAAGTCCGAGCGGGGCCGAAGGCCCCGCGAGGGCTGTAGCGCTCTTAGATAACATGTATGACGCGTATCAATTCAAATGAAATCAAATTAAAAGTAAATGAAAATTTCAAAAAAATATATATCCTATACCTAATGAGCTGTGAAAAAATCCTTAGTTAACTGGGCGCCGCCATTTTGAAATCCTTTTGAGCTAAATATAGATATCACAGCGCTTTTAATGAGCGTCTACATAATTCAGCTATTGCTAGCAGACGCATGCTTAATAACACTTCCGGTGAAAGAATGATGTACAAAATCAGAAAATAAACATTCATTTCATTCATATGAACTATAGTAACGATGATAAATGTAAAAAGTTACTTTTAAATCCTTTTTGATAAATAAGCACATTAAAAAATAACGTAAAAACAACATATGTGATTAGAGATTAACAGAAAATGGCGGACGGGATTTTCCAAACGCCGACGCATGCGCAGTGGTCCCTCTTCCGATGATAGGTTGAACACCACCAATTTATTCGTTTATGTTTACGGTACAAAATACTTGCATTTACTTATTAACGAATTGCATGATAGATCTGGTTAACATGTACACTAAACATGTTATGCTTAAATCATAAATCATAAGAGCTTTCCGCGCCATAGGTAGCATCTAATTTCATATTAATTGTTTGTTTGTGCATTTTTTAAAATGAAGTTTATGTTCTTGTAGTTCTGTTTGTATTGATTACATTTCCCCTACTACATGCATGTATCATAGCCTCATTCTTATACTTAATCACATCAATTGATTCATTTATTTAAATATTCAGGTTTTAAATATATGATTGAAAAACTTATTCTTAATGAGCCAATTTGGTAAAGGGCCGAAACGTCTTGGGGCTGAAATGACTCGAAATACATATATTAAAGTAATGTGACCTGAACTAATTTTTTTCAAATTATGTTCGATCTTTTTGTAAATTAGTTAATTACAGAATGTCAGATTTGTAAATTAGGAGAAATTGTGCAAATTTAGATAAAACCTGTAAAAAATGAGGCTAAAGTAATCATAATCATGTTGACAGACTATTTGTCTGTATGTGACACCTGACATAAGCCATATCCGAACTTATGTAAAGTTTAATAGATTTTAGTGATTATTCTGCGAAATTCTTTATCAATAGATGACTATTTTAGTGTTCATTATTTCTTCAGTTAAATTACTTACATTTTTGTTTGTTTTTAATGCCATTGCCTCCATTTCTTAGACATAAATTGCAAAAGCGTTTGGCAAGCATTCTGTCCGTTAATTTGTTGTTGTTGTTGCTTAACCGGAAACGGAAATTTTAATCCGGACAATGAAGCGCATGCGTGATTGCCTTAACGACGGTACAAAATAACAACTGTCACACTGGTGTCTGTGTATGAAAAAAAATAGAAAAAACTTATAGCAAGACCACCTTTTTTGTCCAGTAGGATAAGCATTCAAAATGGTAAGTTATCTTTAAAGTATTTATAGATCTTTTTGAACCAACTTTAGTGTAAGAACATCTTAAATTGACGTCCGTTTGTGCTCCCAAAGAAGATTTAGTCCAAACAGTGAAAATGACATGAATCTTGTGTGACATTACTGTGCTTCCCTTTTCAGTTAACTAACTTTTAAAGTATCTGTCGGCTGATATAAACCTTTAAATATAGATGATAGACTCTAATTGTCTTCACTGGTGAAAGCATCAAAAGTTTAAATAGGTACAACGATTTGACCTCATTCAAATTTATAAAATAATTAATGGGTTTGATAATGACCCGGATAAATTTTTTGTGTTCAATGATAACTGTACACGCGGACATATATTCCAGCTATTTAAACCAAGTGTGAATAAAACACTAAGGAAAAATTCATTTCCTATTAGATGCATTGACCAATGGAATAATTTAGATGAAAACATTGTTGAATTTGTTCTCAGTGAAAGTATTTTAACATTTAAAACTTTACTCGACCGGAGCTGGCAAAGTAAAAGATTTAATACAAGTGACATTTACTGAAATTATCTTTGATAATACTGTATAGGAGGAGCTTTCAAGCCATCTTGGCTTATATGCTAAGAAGAAGAAGGTAAAGGTAATTGTGTTACAGATTGCAACTTGACAACCTTTTTTATGTTGTTGTTTTATTTTATTTCATATCCTGCCCATCTGTCTTAATTTATTACTGAATCTTTCATCAGTTTGAGTTTATCATGATGTTAAATATTAAACAAAATGTTATTGTTCCAAACTCTATCATACCTTTGCTGACCAAATTCAATATTTATCATTTAATGCACAGGAGTATTTCATTTTAGTATAAGTAGATGGCTTAGTTAGGCATGGTAGAGCTTCATTTATATTGTAGCATGTATACCAATACATATCTTCCAATCATAACTTCTGTGATTCTAATGTTTTATGAAAAAAAAAAAAACTATAACATTTAACTTTGTTGGTTGTTAGATAAAAAAGAAATCTTCTTTATTATAGGTAATTAGCGAATTACATGTATATATCATCACAAGGGTTTTAATATATTGCAGTTTTATGATACATTTGAAAAGTTTTAATCTTACACTGTTTCTTCAATTTTAGCCCGGCAGTGCAATTTCTGCTGTTGGAAGTTCGTCTTCTGCATCGTCAAGACGTGGTAAAACCAAAAACTACAGAGTTGTCAGTAACACATCCCAGGTAGATGAGTCTTTATTTGGCCAGCCTAATCATGTTACAAAAAGACAAGAAATGGCAAACAACAAAAATAACCAGGAAACAACAATTGAAGACATCGCAAGAGAAAGAAGTGCTAAAAGGAACAATAGAAATAGCAAGAAAAATAAAGAAACAGTTCAAGTTATCACAAAGGACCTTATAAGAAATTTAATGTAAGGAAGAGTTACAAAATATTTCATTTATGTATCCATCCGTGACAATACAATTGTATGAAAAATAAAATTTTGCAAAAAGCTGTTTTATACAATAATTTACAAGTATATTAAATATATATTTTATTGGTGTACTCAAATACGATATTGGTGTATTCAAACAGGATTGACCTCTAGTTTTATCTTATAACAACCATGCAAAGCTTCTTTTTTATTTTCAGTGTTCCTACAGAAGATCCTTCTGGAAACTCAGTCATACTGCCACGCTATGAGTTCTTCAGAATTTGTCAAAACTCAAAAGTTATCACAAAAGAAGAGCGTGAGATGAGAGAACAAAGAATGAAAGAAGAAAAAGAAAGAGCTATGGTTGGTCATTATTGCTTAAAATTTTCAAGTAAAAAACTCCACATTGATGATACATGTATATTTTCAGGATCTGTCAGAAGGAACTAGTATAAAAAACAACAGAACTTTCTTCATTTTGAACAAGTGACCTGTTTTTGCATTTTATACTTAATCTTAATTGTAAAGGCAACAGTGTAATTAAAACTTTATTGTATTATAACTTAAAAAAGAATAATTTTTCTGTTCAGAATAAAGACAGAATTTTTATTTGAAGCTATAACAAATTTTCTACAAAAGTGTCTTTATTTTATGATTATTCATCAACATTCATATGACTTATCTCTTCGAAAAATTCATTTTCAGGAGGAAAGTTCAAATCGTAAGAACCAGATGAAAGCATTAGACTTAGATCGTCGTCATAATGAGAAACTAAATGATCTGGAATCAGAGGCAAAGGAAAATGCTGAGCATCTATTGACCAGAGCAAATGAGATGAGGCAAGAACAAGAAGATGAGATTAAACATTTAAATGAAGTAAGTTTACTTTAACTGTTTATTTATAATTTTAGCTTGATTGCAAAGAGGGCTATGAACGTATTTATAACCTTTGTTTTAGTAGTATTTACTCTAGACATTTTAAATGTTAAGTGTGAACAAAAAAATCTCTTCAGAGAACAAAGATTATAGCTTTCCAGTATGTTTCATACTTAATTGTTATTTAAGCCTAACTTAAACAAATATATATTAGCCATACTGGATGGTCTTTAACTTTCAGTATCTACCAATGCATTTATTCATAGTTTCATAAAAACCTGCTGTGTGAATAAAGACACTGTTTCATGTCTAGGCAATATAAATTATTCTATAATTTCTATTGCTATTAATTTTTGTGTAACACATTTTAAGAATTCTGGAAATCGAAGTGCTTAAATATTTCTACAATTTCAGTTGATTCTCAATGCTAAATGTCATGCCATCAGAGATGCTCAGATCCTGGAGAAAGGTCATGTACGAAGTGAGATGGATGAAGAAGAGAAACGTTTAGATATAATGATGGAGGTAGACAGACAGAATGCTATCAAAATACAAGAAGAAATTGAGAAGAAACGAAAGGAAGAAAGACTCATTGGTATGTTTATATGGATGTCATTATCAAAGATCTCTGTATCAAAGATTAGTGTTTAATTTTTGAGGTAATGGTAGCCTAAACTAAAGCCATAATTATGTTTACAAGGATCTAAAAAATCAAGCACTCTGTATCCCCTTATGTCTCCTGTTAACAATGATCAGTATTTAAAGCAATGTTTTACCTTTAACAGGATGCCTGTAAAAAAAGCAATTACATAATTACAATGTAAGATTAATCTTCTCTTTTCATAGGTGCTGCCAAGCTTCAATTCCAGATCAGTGAAAATGAGCAAGAAAGATTGTTTGAACTTGAGCGTAAAGATCAGGAAAATATACAAATGCAGAGACAGGTAGAGAAAATGATGGATGAAGATAGGGAGTCCCTGGAGAAGAAGAAGCAAGAGCAGGAAGTTTTAAGGGTATATACATCTTTATGTCTTTATAGTCATTATACAATAAAAAAAAAACATTAAAATTTTCATATTACGAGAGGTTAACATCTTCATGTTTTGATGGTAATGTTATTTCCCATACATTATCTTACATTTGTATTTGACATTGCATACAGGTCAGGTATTTTATATAAAACTATTGTAATAAAGTGAATTGCTTGAATGGTTTTTTGTTTGCTTATTGTATGTTTAAAAAACAAAGTGCTTGCTAAAATTCCTAATAATAAAACTGTAACATCAATTTTCATGATGAAGAATATGTTGGTGATAATTTTTAACTTGATCTAAAGAGTTTAAATTATTTTATTGACTGTAAATTATTAGATGCTTAAGTCTTACATAATATTTTTACACATACATGTATATATATATGCAATAATAAATTATATATCTTTGTAAGAGGGGGATTACCTCGACCCCCACATTCGATACCTATGACAAAAGATATTGTGAAAGAAAGAATAGTAAAAGCATTACTAAGTTTTGTGGTTAAAATTCAAAACAGAACACATTTTACTTTGCTCACAAAAAGTCCATGAAATATAATGTTAATTGTAGTTTATTTTCTCTTCCAGCATGATTTGAACAAGGCTAATGATGAGATTTTGGCTCGACGAGAAATCAAGAAACAACAAGAGAAGGCGGAGGAATTGAAGGTTATAGAATACATGAAACAGAAAGCTGTAAGTATATAGTTTAATGTTGTAGTATTTATCACATGTTATATTATTTAGATATGTCATGATTAAATGTTCTGATTTCTGAAATGTCGTACGACAGCCATTTTAATAATGCATTCTTACATGCTCAAAGAAACTGATTTGATAAACACATAATAACAGTCACAACAACTGTCATATTTCTGTCGAGCGTGTTATTGATATTGTCTGTATTTGTCTGTTTGTTTTGTAAAGTTTGCTATAATAGTTTATAAATGTTGTTATGTTTGCCCTGTACAGGAAAGAGAAGCAGCATTTGAGAAAGAGCAGGAGAGAATTAGAATACAGAAGGAGAAGGAAACTGCCAGGCTTCGTGCTTTACAGGAACGCGCTCGTGATGAACAGGCTGATAGGGATGCCTTACGCGCCAAGCGTGCCCAGGAACAAGCGGAGCGTGAATGGAGGAAGAAAGAAGCAGAGGAAGCCAAGAAGAAGGCTGTGACTGAAGCTATGTTGATTGACGCTCGTAAAAACCAGATGCAACAGAAAGAGCATTACCTCGCTGTACAGGCACAACGAGAGAGGAACGAATTTGAGAGAGTACTTAGGTATGTTCAAATATTAATATTTCTATTTTTTTAAAGATTTCATTTGAGTCAGTTTAAATTTTTCCCCCTTTAATTGCGAGAGAATATGATTCTGATTAAAATTAAGTCAGAAAAAATTATACTGGTTGTTGTTATTAGTAAAATAAGTAAAGATATAATCCTTTCTAAAGGATAGTTATAATATTCATTTTCAATTTTTTAATCAAGGGCTCAAAAAGAATTGGTTGAGAAGGAAAGGCGAGAGGACATTGAGGCCAGGAAGAAGCGTCTGGTACATGCCGATGATGTACGTACACAGATCCGAGAGAAGGAACAAGTTCGCATCTCAGAAAGGAATGCCTTCTTTGAGGAAGGTGTCAAACTGGACGAAGAGGCTAGACAAAGACGAGCAAAACTTGAGGAAGTTAAGAAAAAGAAATTAGAAATGCTCAGGTGCGTATTCTTTTATAATCTCTACAAAAGTTTCTTTGTGTTTTTCTCTTTACTTAGTTCTTTTAAAAACTTAAAAGTGAAGCAATATTGGATATATCCTGTAAGTGGATATTATTTCATTATACTTACATCGAGTGATATAGTTTATTTCTTACTGGTACAATTCAGTTTTTTATTACCTAGAAAACAATTATTTGTTTAAGTTTATTGTTTCTTATCAGCCCTCTTGTAGATCTTACCTTTGTTTTGTCTCTATCATTTTGTATAATTCTGTGTATTTCTTGTCTTTTTTTCTTTTATTTAAATTAAATGTCACTTGTTCCTTTTTACAGAGCGGCCGGTATTCCAGATAAATATGTAACACATGTGGCACACAAAGTCAATGTGCATGCATGAAAACACCTCTAAAACACATTACAAGGTGCATAAATTGTGTGCGTGTGTAAAATAAAATGGTGTGAGCCCTGAGTGTGCTTTTTTGTTTTTTCATACATGTATTCACCATTGAGTGACAATTTTTCTTAAAACATAATGGTTTTGTGTGGTGTGGTGCTAAACTGTTGTAATTTAGCAGTTAAATGATGCCTGTAGAATTTATACACTTTGGGTTAATGAAAACATTGTTTTGACTTGTATTTTAGGTTTCATTGAGTTAAGGCAGTGTTTTCGTCACTTGCAACATTTTTCTAACTGTAGAATAGTGTGTATAACCATTTGGATTTATATAATGAACAAACCTCTGACTTTGATTAGCTAAGTTGTTGTAATAGACTGGCACAGCTTTAAACTTACCCAACTTTGAATAGCATATTTATGCTAATTTATGTAATAGACTCTTCCAACATTGAAAATCTGAGATATTTGTACATGTAATATGGACCTACCCAATATTGAATAAGGGACTGTCCATCAAAATATCAAAAATTAAAATTGAACAAGTAACAGTAAAATGTCCAGCATGCTGTACTTGATACTTATAGCCAAGGCAAGTCATTGTTTTAACTGTATGTCAGGGTAAAATTCGATGTCAGGTCAAATTTTGTTGTCCATAATGCTTAGTAGATTATTTTTAATCAGCACTTTTTTTTCCCTTTATTATTATCTTTCATATTTTAAAATAGATTAAAACCACAGGCATGAGTATCAGACCTGGGAAGAAAAAATATGACCTGATTGATAATAAAACCTGTGTTCATCTTAAAAAAGTCAAAAACCAAAAAAAATGTAAATTATGACCCCCTTTAAAAACATACTATAAGTTAAGTCTGATACTCGTGCCTGTGATTAAAACAGGCATCATTTAAATTTAGAAAAGGATTTAAAGTTGTGAATTTGGTGCTATGAATATAAATTATTACTTTTTTATAGCATGGCCTTGTAAACTTGAGAATCTGTCCCATTTTAATATAGATGTGTTCCAGTTTTTTCTGTAAAATTTATTTAGAATAATAATGCCTAATGTTTCTGTGTATGCTCCCAGTATTGCTGTGTTGAGATAGAGGATATTTGTTTAGTTCAGTGTAAGATCGGAATATATTTCACCGAGTGAGCACCAAAAGGTATATTTCACGAGTGGCGCAGCCACGAGTGAAATACGAACTTTTGGTGTTCACAAGGTGAAATATATTTCGATCTTACACTAAACTAAACATATTTTCTTTTTATTATATGCAAAGAAACGTTTTAAAAAGACATTAAACCTAATACTGAATGAAAAGCGCGCCAAATAATAATACAACGTGACGTCAATTACGATGTCACGTCATTAAGTTGGTACCCAGTACTGTGCACGCTGGTATTTCACTGAAACAACGTAAGGGGCTTAAGTTCAAAACAGTGAAATTATCAAATTGATAATTTCACTGTTTGAAACAGTGAAATTACCATTTTTATTTCACTGATATATTTCTATAAACCACCGAAAAGCATGTAATAAATAGAGGATATTCAAGTTTTTTCTATAAATACATGATTTATTTTCATCGAGTGGTATGAAAATAAATATTTCATGAGTGGCGGTAGCCACGAGTGAAATATGGTAATTTTCATGCCACAAGATGAAAATAAATCATGTATTTATAGAAAAAACTTGAATTTTCTGTTTATTATGTACATTTTTCTCTTTTTTGTGATGAAATTTGAAAAACTTTCCCTTAAATTTTGTGTACTGGTAGAATTTAAAAGAAAGTAGTCCGGCAAGACACCAGTGAAAATACGGAAAATATGTTTCACTGCAGTGAAAAATAAATTTTTACAGTGAAAATACGGAAAATGAAAATACGCATTTTATTTCATCAATATTTCTCAATATTTCATTTATAAGTATATAATAAATAGAGGATATTCAAGTTTTTTCTATAAATACATGATTTATTTTCATCGAGTGGTATGAAAATAAATATTTCATGAGTGGCGGTAGCCACGAGTGAAATATGGTAATTTTCATGCCACAAGATGAAAATAAATCATGTATTTATAGAAAAAACTTGAATTTTCTGTTTATTATGTACATTTTTCTCTTTTTTGTGATGAAATTTGAAAAACTTTCCCTTAAATTTTGTGTACTGGTAGAATTTAAAAGAAAGTAGTCCGGCAAGACACCAGTGAAAATACGGAAAATATGTTTCACTGCAGTGAAAAATAAATTTTTACAGTGAAAATACGGAAAATGAAAATACGCATTTTATTTCATCAATATTTCTCAATATTTCATTTATAAGTATATAATAAATTGGCTTACTGTTTCAATATTGTACAGATATGCTTTGTGCAGAAAGTCATGTGACTACTCCAATTTGAATGTGATAAAATGTAATATTGATTTTTTAATGATAAATGATTAGAAGTTATAAATTGGCTGGTTGCTACCATCATCTAATAATGTAAGGGAAAAAATAGCATTATAGTGTATGTTACATGCATTCTAAAGACAAGTTTTAGTTAATGGTACTATTTGTTAAAGGTACTAGTTTACCAATCACTATAATTTTCATACCAAGTTTATTTTTACTACAAATAATCAGAAAATTTCTTTTTATATTTTCACACCCCACCACCTCACCAAGACAGACATTTTTTTTTCTAATTACACAATTTTTAATTTTATCACTTTAATATATTTACTTTTTAGACAGCAGTTTTAATTCAAACTTTTTTTTATTGAAGCACTTTGATCTATACATATTAGCACATTGAGCTTTAAATTAACATACATTATAATTTTGCCATTATTTTATATGATATAATTGGTATTTTAATCAATATTTAGGTCAGTATTTCAGCTGATATATTAATTGATGTGTATTATTTAGTATATTGTTCCAAAGATATTTTTATCAGAATAGATAAGCCCAGTCTATGGTCATTTATGCAGGAATTTTATCTCAGATTTGACACTTTATGATGTGACACTTTTTTCATGCACTTTTTATGTCAAAGATTGATTGACAAAAAAAAATATGGGACTTTTTCATTTATCAGAACATTTTAATAATCAGAAAATTTTATTTTTGGATGTGTATATTTTTTCATAATAATTACTGTAAGAAGTTTATTTGGTTTAAAATTTGCTAGATATTATTTTTTCTTTATTTATTATTATGTTTAGGAGTCTCATCCATGTGAATATATTTAGATAGAGAACATTTTACTTTTCTATTTAGTGACAATGAAAGCAATGAAAAATATCTTCAAATAGTAAATTTCATAATTTTTTGTACACAAAGCAGACAGTTCTTAATGTGTACCTTAAGATACAGAATTAACCAATTGTAATAAAAAAAAACATATTCATGTGCTTTTTATTGAAATTTATTTTGTATACTGACTAAGGTATTCATGATTTTTGTATCTTCTCTATTTCAGACATGCCGGAATTCCTGAGAAATATCTTAGTCAGGTTGAAAGAAAGGTTGCCGCCCCTCAACACATCAGTACATGAGGATTTTATCATTGTTACATCAGGAACATTTTTATATACGCTACATTCTATGTCTGTGATAATCATTTTGTGTCTACAATTTTATATGGAAACAAAATACAGTTTTAATTGAGAAAGATATAAAAGAATGTTGTAAATTTTTATTTCTTTCTCCTTTCGATCATTGTTATATAATTTCTCATCGACTATTGAGAAAAAATATAACAAATGTAATATTGGAATATCCATTATTTTAATATGCATACATATTATGAAAATGACCTTGTTTAAAGTTTATCTTTTTATCTTAAAGTGTGCTTTTCTGCAGTATAGTTGTATCAATTATTTTCATCTTTGAGAATAGCATACATGAGTGACTCCTTTCCAAACACATTAAAAAAAATATTGGATTGTTATATCCCTATGACGTAAATTTAAGGTTTTGATACCCCTTGAAAGTTATTTATACAATTTTGTGTGATATATTCTTTTTATTATGTATGCATTTGTTATGGCACTGATTTTTAAAGTCAAACTCTATAAGTGACAATATATAGGCACAAATAGTTCTCTTTTACATTGCATTTTAGATCATAATTATGGCTGTAGTAACAAGATTTGCCTCCCTTTTGATTAATTTTTGTTTAGGAAAAGAGCAAGAGTTGTTTTCCTTTTCTTGCATCATATAGTGAAAGTAAAACATTATTTACTTCCCTTTATATATAAGTAAATTTTTGAAAAAAGGGGAGGTAACTGTGACTGAAAAACTTTTATTTTCTTGACATGAACATTCAAAAAGACTGATGCTAACCATTTCATATACTTAAAAATCATCTTTGAATGCATTTCTTTGTGTTCTATTATTATTACACATTATTATTGTACATATACACATATTTAAAGCTTTCTTGATGTTGTGTAATATCAGAACTTACATAGAATAACTGTAGTTCTGCTGCTAAGCAACAAAGAGACAATTTTTTTATTGAACAGTTGTTTAATTGTTTTATTGTTTGTTATGAGTGAGACAGTATTCATATATAATATAGTTAAATATAGGTACAACTTGGCCCGTATTGTATAAAACAAATGTAGGGTTTACTTTTATAATAATTATTTCAAGTGTTGTTTTTTTGTGAATATTAACCACAATAGCATTACCTTTTTTTATTATTAAAAATACACTTTTTGGCTTTATTAAGTAGATCACATATATTTTGCTTGGTGTTATTTAAGTATTTCTGTTTAAAGTATTAATTTGAAAGGGAAGTGATGTCACAGACTGCCAACATCCTAGCACCATATTAATATTGAAAATTAACAGTATTTGAAAACGATTTTTTTATTTCCATCACCACTTATATGGGAATTATGTAAAGTATTATCTTATCCAAGTTTCGAACCATAGAAGTATTATTGATATTATGAAATTTATGGTATATTTTAACCCTTAACCCAACTGAAACCGAAAATGATTATAAGCTGTTGCGCCACCAGTATAGAGTCATATTCTGTGCAGTCTGACCAGGCTCTATACTGTTCATGAATTTCAACAGGTTAAGTTATCATTATGATGAAATAACCCCGGGAATTTTGCCATGTACATGTACCAATAAATCAAGAAGCATGTTGTAACCTCATGTCTATTTTTAAATATATAAGCATTATATGTCTACATATAATTATCATTTCTATTTAGGTATAAAACTATTAAATTACCATTACCATGTTTTATAGCTGACTCAGCAATTATTTTGCTAAGTCAGCAATATTTTCACTGTGTCAGCAAAGTTAAAATCTACTTGCTAGGTTTTATTTATAATAAATGAAAGGTACAGTTAATAACTTATTTTTCATGTTTCATACAAAGAAAATTTCTGCTTTTAGAAGTGAAAGGAAGGGACCACATGATTCATTCGAGCAATTTAGAATTATTTAGAAGAGTATGTATAGTCTACTGTATGCTTGTGATATTTTTTTTTCGTTATTTTTATTTTTTTTTTTCATTTTATTTTCAAACAAATTTATAAATGTAATAGTGAAGTTACAACTATTCACAATATTTTATCATGTGTTAAATGACTATGAGAAATAAACTATAACAAATTATTTTTATTGTATGTTGTTGTTGTTTTAAGAAGTAGAAAAACATGAAATTCTTACACTCTTCTCACATTTTCCTGTTTCAAAAATACAGCAGTCAAGTACATGCACTGGACAAAAAAGTATCAAAGGGCAATAACTGTAATTAGTCCAAATAGAGTTTCATGTGCACTGCACTTCATGGCACTGCCCTTGACCATTGTGTAAAGTTTCATTGAATTCCAACCATTAATTTTCAAGTTATGCACTGGACAATAAAAAGTAACAAAGGGCAAAACTTTTAAATGAGTCAAGAAAGAGTTATGGTTTCTTTGCATTGCACTTCCTCTCAATATACTTGACCATTGTATGAAATAGTATTGAATTCCAACATGTAGTTTTCAAGTTATGCTCTGGACAAGAAAAAAGCAATGGAAAAGTAACAAATGGCAATTACTCTTTAATTACTCTGGACAGAGTTATAGTTCTTGTACACTGCACTTTCTCTTATTGTGCTTGATCATTGTATGAAGTTGTTTTGAATTCCAACCAGAATGTTTTAAGCTATGCTCCAGACAAGGAAAAGTATCAAAGGGCTATAACTCTGTAATTTGTCAAAATGGGGTTATGGTTCTTGTGCATTGCAATTCCTCTTAATGTGCTTGTCAACTGTATGAAGTTGTATTGAATTCCAACCAGTAGTTTCGGACAAGGAAAAGTAACAAAGAGCAGAAACTCTGTAATTAGTCAAGATGGAGTTATGGTTCTTGTGCACTGCACTTCCTCTCAATGTGCTTGACCATTGTATGAAGTTATATTGAATTCCAAACATAAGTCCTCAAGTTATGGTCCGGACAAAAGAAAGCAATGAAAAAGTAACAAAGGTCAATAACTCTGTAATTACTTTAGATAGAGTTATGGTTCTTGTGCACTGCACTTCCCCTTTTTGTGCTTGACAATTGTATGAAGTTGTTTTGAATTCCAGCCAGTAATTTTCAAGTTATGCTCCGGACAAGGAAAAGTAACAAAGGGCAATTACTCTGTAATTAGTCAAGATGGAGTTATGGTTCTTGTGCACTGCACTTCCTCTCAATGTGCTTTACAATTGTATGGAGTTATATTGAATTCCAACCATTAGTCTTCAAGTTATGCTCTGGACAAGGAAAATGCAACAAAACCACTGGACTGACCGACCCACCGACCACCGGGTGACTCCTATATACCCCACCCCAAACTTTGTTTCGGGGGTATAATAAATGCTGTTATTAAGCAAAAAAAAAGACCATTTTAAACAGTTACTTTGACCAGTCACAAACCGTCTTAACACCATTGAGTAGCTCCTAGACTTTGTCACTTTTCAAGGAAATTTGACTATACATGAAAAGGTCCTTTGAAGCATGGAATCAACAATCAACAAATTTATAGAACAACTAATCAAATCAGTAGCACTGGGAAACAAACATTAAATTATCTTATACCTTTCTTTGTTACTTTGCCAAGCTAAAAAGGATGGGCAGCAAATGTGTCAGGGTTCACTGGTTCAATTCTTAAACAAGTTAAAATTTAGCCATGGCCATTGATCTGGGATATCAAACCTAATGGTCATTAGTCTTTCTCTGCTGATTTAGAAATCATGTGGACTTCGTAACCAGTCATTTGTAGAGAAATTTGGTTCATACAGTGAAGTTATCCAGGAAAACTGGTTAAATAGACTTGACTGCAGAGATATAACCAATATTATGTTAAAAATTGGAATAAAAACCAAACAAATCTTATACATTCATAGGGGGACATAATACAAATAAGGAAGGAATACATTTTTGACACTTTTTTTTTAATCTTGTATATTATATTACTCTGTACATAGACACAATTCATATTTATATACATCTGTACAGATTTAAATACAAAAACAAATTGGAATGTGCCATCAGTCTGACATCCATTAATCATGTAAACTATAGAAACATCCAAGAGCAGTGATAACATCTTATATGTTTTTATGGATACAAATCTTTTTGACATTAATAATTTACAAATACTGGTTGTCTCCCTTTGCTTAAAAAATATCCTATTTTATTGTTTTTAATAAAACAAAGATGTTTTCACTGCTCTTGGCAGTTTTTAAAATTGTTATAATCAACATGAAACAATCCTATCTGTGTATGATAGGAAGACATATATGACTATCATGTACTTGTATGTTAACACCTTCATATGTTCTAAGATCTTTACACATCTGGATTTCAAATACACATGTATTTTATGAATAACATAATTACTTACACATTGCATAAACTGGCTAATGACACACATATATGATATATTCTGAACTAAACATTGTCAGCTTTCAACCAGATATCTTCATATCGAGGGCTTGGAGCAAAATGCTTGTAACTTGTATGAAATAATAACAGAGTTATGACCATTAAGCGCCATGCCCTCATTACATATAAAATAACTTTCACAACATAGTAAACTACTTGAAAATTTAAATATTTCACCTTGAATAAATGTAAAATATGTTGAAAAGAAATAGATTCTTTTGATTATTCTAATATTTTTAATTCTACTAAATCAAGAATAAATACATTAACAAATACTAGTAAAACATTTAACACATAAGTACCCTTTCATATAATTTTATTGCATTTGGAGTTTTCTGTGATATAAAATTCCCTAATTACACCAAAATCAACATGTTTACATTCATCAACATACCAGCAACAAAAAAGAATGTTGGGACCAGAGTTTAAAAAAAACAAAAACAACTTGGCATATAAAACCAGTCTTAAACTCCTGCATCTGATCAATTGAAAATTTGAAATTAACCAATGGATGTGGTTAAATTTCAGACTGGTTTCAAATGCCTGCGTAATAACATATGACCTTTTATACAAATCACACTTCGGAAATATAATTAATAAATATATTGTTTCCTCAGAACAGAAGTACTTTATGAGCATAATTTGAAAATGTTCAAATTCTTAACATAACCCTGGCAAATCACTTTAAATGAATCTCAAAACTGTCATGGAGCAATGTGGTCCCTTGTTGTTTGTTAACACAGTGGTTTCTTTCTATAACTTATATATCTATTGTTTTGTTTTCTTTGGGCTTTTGTGTATTGATTTTTAATTTTTAGGACAATCAGTTGCAGGTATTGTTACAGAAGATTTAATACTGTAGCAGAGTTATATATTTTGTGTTATTAACTATAAACTTGGGCTCTCATAACACACTTTCATGAGATCAGAGACTATCTAAGAAGCTTAGAAATTATATCTAATACAAGATTAGAGACTATTTCTGGAATAATTGATTTAACACAAGTTTAGAGACTAGTATGTTACTCTTTAACCCACCTCCACATTCCAGCAGTGGAAGCAGTCACTATACTGTTGAAAAGTTCAATGATAATAATACTGACACCCCTTAAAGTAAAATTAGATTGTCCCAAATTTAAAGCAGGGCGAGTCCATTACAAAAATTTAGAAGGGATAAGTTTTCATTTTGAATGTAAGATAGTTTAACAAAGTCTTTGAGACCAACTGTATCTTAAGATAGACAACGGGTTATATAAAAATATCACAGAAACAAAGTGAAACATATTATATGGCCATGCTACTGTAGAATCTTACCAAATTACATCATTTTCTTTAATAAAAATAACAATAAAAACAGCACATCAATCTATCATTTCCTATATCCCTACCTGACAATTGTTCTGTTTTATGACTAGAATGGAAACATGTGTTCAGATCACCTACAATCAGACATAAGATCGCACAACATTGATTCTTTGTTGTTACAAAAATCTAGTATACCATGTTGTCCTTAAGTATTTGGATCATCCCATGACAAAATATATAAACATAAATGTAAAAGCCAAGGCTTTCTCCATATTGAAACTGTCACTTTTATACCTTAAGTATTTTAATGATTTTAAATTTAAGATATTCGATATTTAGAAAAAAAAAATAAATAAATAAATAAATAGATCCCCCCATGACCCTGATCTTCATTATTCAAATTATCAGATTAGTGGATTACAATAAAATTTTCACCACAACATATTTGTTAACATAATAACAAAAGAACACATGTTAATGTTTGTGGTTAAATCTATTGTTATTCAAGTGAAAGGCCAGAATAAGGATCTATCTATATGATTAGGAAAAAACATCAGTCAGCAATTTTAAAAACATACAGACATCTAAATTTCATAATAATATAATCATGATTATGACCTTGAATTATAGACAGAGGTCAAGTTTGAAGACATAACCTCCATTAAATATCTAGCATCTACTCAAATACAGTTCTGGTTAATCCGTATCATACCATTGTTATTTAAAAGACAAATTTGTGCCTTTAAAAATTTGTTAACAACAAGTTAACTTTAATGGTATAAATTATATAATCTAACAACAATAATAACAACAACTCAGCTAGCACTACTGGTTAAAAATACACATTTATACGGCAGCATAGGAATGTGTACAGACTCCTTGTACATGTTATGATATGATATTGTATGAGACGAGCCACGTTAACAGGTTACATTGTTACAAAAATGATGTAATCATAGAAAAAACGCAACATGGAAATATGTATTACATGAGCCATTTGCAGACAAAATAATACAAAATTTATAAATTACATATGACATATTTATTTAAATTTTATAACCTTAATGAAAATTTCGGGTAAAAAATGTAGGGATTTCAAAGGAAAAATATACAACACAATAATGTCTATTTTACTGCTATGTGGCTCTGTCTTGAAAACAATAAGCAAAGGTGCTGTATAGGTTGACAGTAATGTGAAGCTATTATTTTATAAAAACACACGAGACAGTTTTAAAATGGTCTGTAACTAATTTTTGAAATATAACTTATTCCTACATTTGAGGCAAGTTTTCAAACGAAAATATTTGATATTCAGTAAATAAAATCAACATTTAAATTAATTAAATACAATATTATTAACCTTGGTATATAAATCAGTGCCAATGCTATCTTCAATGCATTAAATATGGCTAACCTGAAGATTTTGTCCATTGCTTAACCAGCAACGTAAAAAACATATCTTATAATATTATATTCTTAATATATCATACTTAAAATTAACTTCATTCATTATGATTTTCATTTACTAAATATTAAATATGATTTCTTTCCAAAATAATTCTGTATTAATGAATTGAGGAAGACATAACCTGTTTTCAGAATTATAACTATTTAATTAATAAGTTTTATCACTTGCTATATCTGTCCGTGTGTTTTATCAATTATCCTCATGTATATATACTGTATAACCATGGTAACGGGACAGATCACTGATTGGTAGATTGTTACAATGATCCTATATTAGATGACTTGAACACTTCTACTCATTGTGTTTTGCTGTACTAAAAGTGCGAGGAGTTTAGTCTTCTAGATTTCTAAACCCTGTTTGCATCTCTTCATAAAGTTCATCAAATTCTTGTCGTATTTTCTTTTCTCCGTCTTTCACTGGGTCCTGATAAATCAAAATGAAATTAATAATAATTAATACATTTTTCTAACTTTTTATGATACGACAATAGAAAGTAAATGAAGCTTAAAAACTGGACATGCACAATTGAATTTTTTTTTTCAGCATCACAACTGAATAACCTATCATTCATTAAGGATTCAATATGAGGATTCTAAAACATTTACCAAGCAAACTATTTCCTTGAAAAACTTAACGATTACTCACTAACGCCTACTGATGCATTTTTTCCTATCTTTACTCTTACACTATTAGAAATATTTTATTTTACATGAAGCTTTAAAATATTCTGAACATGTATTATTGCCAGGCACTGCATCAAACCAACTAAAGAACAGACTGATTTGATCAATCTATAAAATCTACACAGAATATCTAGTAGTATATCTAATAGTAATATTAGTCTCTGAAGGAAAACTAAGCATTGGTTTTGAAACTTTTATTATCAAGATCATCTTTCTTCATTAACACCAATGCTATTTGCAAGTCCAGGAAATAAGAATTTACATATGAACGAGTATTAACATGCTCTCATCAAAACTGACCTAAATTTAGATGACAAGTAAATTTGCACAAACTTTACACATACCTTGAATTTCATACTGCTAAGTTTATATAGAATATCCCCCATTTGGTCTCTAATAATTGCCCAGGTAATTTTGTTCTCACTCTGCGCTGTACTTTCTACTGCATGTCTCGCCATGTCATAAAATGATATCATGTTCTTTAACATGCCTACAGTCTTGTAAAATGGACAAAATCTGTAAACACAAATTTACTTTGTTAAAGTGTTGCAAAATACACAGATAAAATCACTTTTGGTTGGGGTTGGTAGTCTTAGTTCCAGATCACAGCAGTAAGCCTCATTGAATTTAACATAGCATAGTTCAGTCATCGTTCCTAGGCAGGTTGTCAACCAGTTTACCAGCACTACTTGTCTTTTCTTTCTCAAGGAACTGATAACATTTACACAAGCCAGAGCAAAGGTATAGTTCTAATAGGTGTGAAATTCAAAGCACAGTTAGATCATTATACAAATTCTGCAGAGAACGTATAACAGCATTCACATAATAAGTAGTAGGTCTCTTCGATGTCAAATAACAACAGAAAATTTACTTTATTGTCTATATATAATTTTAGATAGACAAGGACTAGCATCTATTCTAATTGGTACTTTACATATTCTACATGTATGCCACCAAACTATTAACAATTAATTACTGAACTTCTATTGTTCATTTAACTGTACCTGTCATATGGTGTGTAACCATTCTGTTGTAAGAAATCATCTTTGATCAGTTTGGCAACTTCTAAAATAATCTTGTCTGATTCAGCCAGTGAACCCTAAAATTAGAGACAAAATAAAAGTGTTCAATTATAATAAATAGCTTCTGTGTATACATTTAACACATGCCAAGGATAAAAAGATAGAGCTATTAATTAATACTGAAATGAAATGTCAGTAAACAATGAGTTATCGAGCTTTTGAAAGTCAATGGCAGGGATGGTGATCCATTACAGTCACATGTGATCATTTATTTATCAATTACATGTATACAATTTATGTATCGCTAACACTGATATAGCCATGTAATGGAATACTTTTGATTACTTTCCACTACATGACAGGTATCTATATGTCCTAGAAATAGATGAGGATAGATCTAACAAACTAAACACAATCAAATATAACCTATGGTTTTCAATTATCCCGAAAAAATAAAAGTAAATCTGCCTAAGATTTTAATAAATGAGTTAGTCGTATATAAAGTATAGAGTTACCTTGCCGACAAGTTGTACAATTTCTGACAGATCTTCTTCTTCTTGTAAGATCTCACGAGTCTGAAATATAAATTCTATTATGTTAACTTTCTTATTGTCAAAGTCTCAAAGTTTATAAATGTACATTAAAATTTTCAGAAATCAAATCTAAATTAAATTCAGAGTTTCTTGCCAATTTTATGTAATAAATTAAATTTCTTGTTAAAATATCTCATCAATCAACAGAACAATATCATCACTTCATAACAAAAGGGCATATACCTTAATAAAGGATTTTTGTACTTCTACCAAAAGTGATTGCAAGAACCTAAAATGAAATTACCTTTGTTCTAAGTGGTACAAATTCACTGAAGTTTTTGTCATAGAATTCATCGAGAGCTCTCATGTAGTTACTGTAACTAATCAGCCAGTTGATGGAAGGGAAATGTTTCCTCTGTGCCAATTTTTTGTCAAGACCCCAAAACACCTGTACAATACCTAATGTGGCGGCTGTTACAGGATCTGAGAAATCTCCACCAGGGGGCGATACACTAAAATATAAAATCAAGAAAATCAAAATACAACTTAAATCTTTTAATAAAACTCTTTTAAGACTTGAATAAATCAAACTATTGCCCTCGCTCCTACTTTGGAAATATACTTTAAATATATTGGGCAAAACTGTGACTTGTATCCTATGCCTAGAAAATTACTCAGAATTTCACCAATGCGATAATATATAGGAAACGCAAACATATCTTTTGCATTGCAAATGGAACAATTGAATAAAATAAATTCATTATTCATCTACTTTGTATGTCATTCATGACAATAATCTAAATTTTACCATTATCTACAAACTTTCATGGACGTCAAATAATAAAATTTCATGTCTTTACATGAATAATGATACTTACGCTCCTACAATACTGACAGACCCTTCACGAGCTGGGTTACCGAGACACTTCACACGTCCAGCTCTCTCGTAGAACGAAGCTAATCTAGCACCAAGGTACGCTGGGTAACCAGAATCAGCAGGCATTTCAGCGAGACGACCGGAGATTTCTCTCAAGGCCTCGGCCCATCTTGACGTGGAGTCAGCCATCATAGACACATTGTAACCCATGTCACGGAAATATTCAGACAGTGTGATACCTGTAATTAAATAATTACTTCTCATTACAATTCAATGCATTTTTCAATTGGCAATAATGTTAGGGTGTTTTTCATGACAAAATACATAGCAATGAGTTACTTAAATTAGCAAATTATCTTCACTTCATCTAAATCAAGTTAGATTACAAACACAACAATACTTTATTGAATCCCCTAATACCAAAACTTCTTCTTCAATTATATATGGATACAGCAGTGGTTCAATTTAAGCATATTTGTAAAGTTTATTGTCTTTTAAACAACATTATTTTTCAAATATTGACATGAATACTCAACTGTTTGAAAAAGTAATACACTTTAGAATTTTTTCTTTTGACAAATTCAAACAGTTTAATTTTATTTTAGAAATATGAATCAGTTATAATGTAAACCGTATCTAAACATTTATTCTGATATTTATGACACATTGAATCAATAAGTAAATAGACTTAACCCTCTAGCCTGCTCGGACCGAAACTGATAAATCTCGTGCCACCAGTATAGAGCCAGGCCATCATTGTTAAAATAATTATCATCCGGCAACAATTATCAAAGTTACAATAATTATCATACCTGTGTAGATAGAAGCCTCTCTGGCAGCTACAGGCATGTTAGATGTGTTTGCTACAAGAGCTGTTCTCTTCATGATACTTTCTGGTTTACCCTCAACTTCCATCGTCAACTGTTTCATAAATAATAGTATATTAAAATACATTAACTGTATGCTTAAATTTATTTTATATTATTTTCATAAATCAACTTTAATACATATTCAGTGATTTCTGATCATGGTTTTACACATTGTATTATAAATGATACCAAATATCTTCATACCAAACACTTCATATATATATTCACAAAACAAATATCTAAATTATCAGCGTCGTAATTTTTCCATTGAATTGATAAAAATGGATCCACGACTCCCAAAATGAAAACCCAGGAGTTTTTTATTATAAAAAAAGTTACACTTGTGAGAAATTATTTCTTATGCCAGAACATTTCTTTTTTCATAAAATTAATTCTTCAAATAATAATTCTGCAAAAAAAATTAACATGTAAAAACAATAACCTCTGGGAAATCTCTTAACACTTCGGACATTTCATTTCCTCTCTCACCACAGCCGACATAAACAATGACATCACTGTTGGAATATTTAGACAGGGACTGTGAAATCACAGTTTTACCACAACCAAAAGCACCAGGGATAGCAGTGGTTCCTCCCTGTACACATCTGTAATAGAAATGAAATAAATAATCAAATGTCAAGAATATAGCTCAGACATATTCTGATTCAGTGTAAAATTTTATGAAGTCAAAATCACTTTAAAGCTTGTCCCCTTTTAGCAAGCATTTAAAATGTAGATAACATGTAAACTAACAAATCCAGGGTTTAACCTGGTTGAAAATTCATTTTAGCCAAATTCGAATGATTTTCTGATTTCATACAAAACTATATCAAAATAGCATAACATGAGCAAGGAATTGTATAGCCAAATTAAAATTTCTGTAGCCAAAGTTATAAAGTTAAGTACATTGCTAAAATGGCTAATGGCAGAATGAGCCCTGAAGTGTATGATCAAGCTAATTTTTTCAGGGATTTTTTTTCATATTGTTTAAGTCATATAGTTTCAGGCATGAAATACTATATTCCTAATTCTCCAAAATACCATGTAATACATTTTTCATGAATCAGTATAGGTGAATAAAACTTCAAATATTCTTATACAAAGAAAGTATAATAGCCTACGGGAAGAGGGCATCCAGTACTCTCTGTCCAGTCAGGAGGGGATGGTTCCCGGCTAATTTATCTGCTGTTGGTCTCATCTGACGTACGGGCCATACTTGTAACATAGAAAACTTTGACTTCTGACCATCAAATTCAGTCTCCAAAATCACATCCTGAAAATTAACAAACATTGAAAGACTGTCTAATCAAAATGGAGCAAAAAAATATCTTTTTTTTATCACCTTAAGAAAAGAGTGCTGAATGTGAAATCATTTGTCATAAATGTAGCAAAACATAACAAAGTAGTATTTTGACTTCAATACAAAATACTAAATCACTATAGCCGTGCTTATAGCAAAAGAAGCAATATATAGCTCAGCTGTATAGCCAATTAATAACTTTTTTGAAACTGTAACAGCTTTTGTCAAATTAAAATGATAACATTTATAAGGCTGACCAGGTCTTTAAAGATCTGGAGGTATCTGGAGGTAACTTATGACAGCTTTACCCCTTACAATATATAAGATATCATACCCTGGTTATTAACAAATGGAAAATGTTATCAAATTTCATTTCTAAAGTACATAAACCTTCTTCAAATTTAATACCAGATTTATTTTGTTCAAAACTCTTTTCGAAATCAATTTCTGTTTATATAATAATAGGTAATTTACTTTATTAATCATTAACCAGGTTTTCCGAAGGAAAAAACTGGTTATTAGATTGAGGTATGTCGGCGGGCGGATGGGCGGGCGGACGGGCGGGCGGGCGTTAACAATTTCTTCTGTGCGCAACTCCTCCTACATTTCTCAACGGATTTTGACCAAACTTTCACAGAAGCTTTGTCATCAAGTGCCCTGGTGCATATTGTCGGGGTTTTGCCATTGGATAATATTTGACCTAATTATGGCCCTTTGTTGTTTTTTTCTTATATAGAATATATAGTGAACAATTTCTTCTGTGCGCAACTCCTCCATCATTTCTCAACGGATTTTGACCAAACTTTCACAGAAGCTTTGTCATCAAGTGCCCTGGCACATATTTGTTGGGCTTTTGCGATTGGATAATATTTGACCTAATTATGGCCCTTTGTTGTTTTTTCTTATATAGAATATATAGTGAACAATTTCTTCTGTGCGCAACTCCTCCTACATTTCTCAACGGATTTTGACCAAACCTTCACAGAAGCTTTGTTATCAAGTGCCCTGGCACATATTGTCGGGGTTTTGTGATTGGATAATATTTGATGTAATTATGGCCCTTTGTTTTTTTCCTTATACAGAATATATAGTGAACAAATTCTTCTGTGCTGAACTAGTCCTACATTTCTCAACAGATTTTGTTTAAACTTTCACAGAAGCTTTGTTATCAAGTGCCCTGGCGCATGTTGTCAGGGTTTTGTGATTTGATAATATTTGACCTAATTATGCCCCTTTGCTTTTTTTCCTTATACAGAATTATCAATATATAGTGAACAAATTCTTCTGTGCTGAACTAGTCCTACATTTCTCAACGGATTTTGTTCAAACTTTCACAGAAGCTTTGTCATCATGTGCCCTGGCGCATATTGTAGAGGTTTTGTGATTGGATAATTTTTGACCTAATTATGGCCCTTTGTTTTTTTTCCTTATACAGAATACATTTTTTCCTTATACAGAATATACAGTGAACACTTCTTCTGTGGCAATTCCTCCTACATTATTCATGTTTTACATTGCACATAGTTACATTGTTTATTGCTTGCATTTGTATTACAAATACAACATATTTATCTACAATGGAGATAATTGAAAACCTGGTTTCGTGGCATTGCCATGTTTCTTGTTCTATCTTTTAAAGAAGCCACACTCAATTCCTATTGCTAGAACTAACCAGTACTGATGTCATATCAGGAAAAATGGCTAAAACCTCAGACTGGCTCAAACTCAAAACCTTGGATAAAAGGCAGCCACCTTAAAGGGGCAACATTCGCTGCCGCGGCAGCGAGTATTTGTGGGTAAGACTAATCAGTGATGTAAAACTGTCTGTTATAAACCCTGAACTATAAATAGCATGCATTGTTAACCTGCAGAGAGAATGTAAACAAAAACAGCCGATTGTAATGATTTTACACAGGAGAGGTTTAATGGATGTTTTATGTTTTATATATTAAAGACATTATCAAGTCATCTTGTCCAGATATTATTTTTGAAGTCAGTTGTTTTTCTTCTTTTTTTCACTGGAATGCTGTATGTGTCCTTCATCAAGTCATACAATTATATCCAAACCTTACATGGGGCATTTCTTTTAGGAACAATCTGCTAAACATATTTTTGACAGGAATTTAAAATATTTTTAAACTGTTAATGTATAAAATTTTTATGCATATGCAACATTTAGTTTGATTAACATTTGTGAAATGTAATTTTTGACTACAAGATATTAACAACAAAATATTGTCTACCTGGAAGTTACTTTTTCTGTTTTCATGAAGTTTAAACCATTCAAATACAAATTAAATCAGTACTTTGAAATTTAAAAAAAATCATTGATTGATGGATTATTGTAAATTTGTTGGATTTGATAAAGCATGTCAGTAAAAGTTATTGTTTTTTTCTTATCATGTATTCAGCATTCAAATGTGTCGTCTGCTGAAAATCTCCCTCCCTGAAATATACATCGTCTGCTACAAATCTCTCTCCCTGAAATAAACACTGCCACGTGCTTCTGTTTACCTCTGAAGGTCCATGACCTGTAATGATCACATGGCTCCTCCCAGGAAATTCAAATTTCAAATTTGACAGCCAGTATTTTTTTCCAGAAATACACTTAACAAAGTTATATTTTGAATAATTTTGGTCAATCTTTATCAAAAATATCTATGCCTACAAACATGCCAAGTGTTGTTTTAATGCATTTGGTAATTAATCTTAAATCTTTGAAAAAGGGTCCCTGAAGTGAAGCATGCATAAAATTAATAAGAAACCTGCCCTAGCGCCATCTACTGGCTTTTATAGTCCAGTTGGGCCTTTAAACACCAAACTACATCTCTCCTTAGTTGATCTAGGTCTTGTAGTAAATACTACATATATTACATAACAACTGCATATTTACATTGATATCATATGTTCCAGGGTCGGCTATATATGTGACAGTTCCACGAGCTTTTGGTGGCACCATCAGTTTATGTTTGACTAGAATATTCTCGTACACTACTCCGTAAATATCTCCACCTGTCACATGACTTCCAACCTACAAAACAAGACGGGAAAATTTCACATTTAAATATTAACCCTAACACTGTTGTATTTTTGTGAGGAATATTTTGGTTATCCTATTTTAAATATGCAATAATAGAATAAATCAATAGTAGTTCTCCTCTCAGAAATCTAAATACTTGAAATGGACTTGCCCATCTTTCAATTTGGAAAAATCTATTCTGTGTTTAATTTCAATATCTCTAGTGAATTTATAGTGAACAGTGCAGACCATGATTAAACAGCATGAATGTGCTGGCTGATTATGATCTGCACTGGTCATATTGGTAGAATATGCTGCGACCAAAGGGCTTAGGCTAAAGGGACTTCAGTTTCAAAATATGACAATTTAACAACAAACAGTTTATGTGCTAGTAACACTGCATTGATGCCCACAGTTGTCCTGACTCTACACTGCTGTTTTAGTTAAAACAGCAATTATTGCCAATAGTGTTAAGAAAGCATTTTAAAAACATTTTATAATTTTCCCATTTTAACTGTAGTGTGTTTTGCAAATGCTGTCTTTCAAAAACTCTAAAAAGTTCCATAATGGAAGCCTGTGTGATGTTACAAGATGAATTTATTCGTAAGGTAATAAATTGTCATTCACAATAACAAATCATGGACACAATATTTCAAGAATGTATTTCATAGATTATAAACATCAAATATCACACCATTGAATATGAACATTCAAATTTATAAAACAATATTCAATTCTTATAAAGATTTAAAAAATTTCTATAAGACATATTTTCCAATCAAAGTTACAATATTTCATTAAATACAAATTTACAACATAAAAACTACAGTAATCATGCAAAATGAAACTAATAGCGAGCTCGACGAGCTGGCCCGAAGGGCCTGCTCGCAAAGCGAGCTTTACGGTAACGCGAGTACCTGCTAAGTGATGGTTTTGAAAACTTTCGTCCAAAGTACCGAATTGGACACATCGCAACCTTTCGAATTTAAAGATAACGATAAAAACTGAGGAATTCTGACTGAAAACGGATGTGTAGACTGGTCACCCGCGCACGTCTATGGGAACCATAATTGGACGGGGAACCAGAATAACGGAAGCTGTGTATAAAAAATGAAAATCGAAGGCGCCATTTTTGTTTGAAATCTGATAAATATAAACAATTTTTTGTCGAATTTTGTTGTGAAAACTATCTAGAATGAAAGAAAATGTTCTAACTAAGAAAATGAATCTGAACACCAATATCTTTTATTCAGTCGTTAACGCTGTACAGACGTTTAAAGTACTGTTTACGTGACGTCACAAGTAGCGCCAAACAGCACGTGCAAAACAAACAAATCAAGTACGCTATTTTAATGTCGCAAACGTTTTAAGTTTTACATTTATTTCACTTTAAATAATCTTTATTTCGCTTGAAAAATTATAGAGTGAAATAAAATAAACAAAGTTTTATCAACGTTTTTAAAACTCGTTATTCATTTCACGACAGGGGCGGAGCCATATTTAACACAGTACGTGTGACGTCACACGCACTCGTTACTGCATTTGAAATAAAAATGAGCGATTATTTCATACTATTTTAAGTAAAAAGTACATCGAGCTCGCTTTGAGGCTTTGCCTTTTTCATATTAATAAGGTCACATTTATATACATACATTGTACAGAATACATTTCATTGAAAAGATTTGTTCAATTTTCATCACATTCATTTAAATTACTTAATGTCATGTGTTGTTAATAAATTTTATATGTAAGGAGTAATTTTATATCTCCAACAAATATTTATATTTTGACGGTTAATTTCATTATGTTGGTGACTTTGTGTAAGTTTTCAAACTTAGTGGTAAATTGTCTACATTAGTGGTAAATTTCCTATCTTGTTGGTAAATTCATAGCTATTTCAATACTCCTTACCCGTATATTTCCAAAAGGCTCAAATTCCCATTTTTTAGTTCTATCTAGGGCAGGTGTGTTTATACCTTTGGGGATGTAAATACTTTGTGTTAAGTTGCTGATATCTTCCAAGGGACGCTGAATACCTACACAGATAACAAATTAACAGGTGAAATATATAACCTCACAAGTGTTTAATTTTTGACAAACCTGTAAAAGGGTAATTGTAATAGATAAACACAACATAAACCAGTTTGACAACAATTTTTAACTTTTCTTTCTGAAACAGAAACATGTTCTACACAACAAACCTATACACAACTTGCAGAACTAAATATACTTAGGCATCATGTGTCTAAATTAGGTAAGGGTAGTAGAAGACTAAGTTTCCCTCTAGAGTTAGTTAACACTATTGTAAAGTTTTTTGGAAGAAAATGAAATAAGAGCTTATTTCCTTCTTCCCATGGCATTAAAACTGTCTAGAAGTCTCTCTTTCTCATTGGTCAAGCTTATATTGCTACCTTTTTGCTCACCTATCAAAGACACATGATCCCTGTAAACTTGGCATGCAAAATTAATCACAATAGGGTTTGCTCACAAAATATATCTATAAAAGATCTACAGTTTTTATACCCTAATTGATCCATATGATTCAAACTCCCATTGTTTAGATCTATCTAAAGATGGTGTGTTAATCCCTCGAGGGATGTATATACTCTGTGTAAGGGAGCATATATCTTCTAGTGGTCTCTGAATACCTTTAAACATATCATTAGTTCATCATTGTTTGTCTGCTTGATAGGTTGGTTTTAACGCATATTTGAACCTACATGAATTGTAACTACCAGTACATGTTTGTAGAATGTGGAATGTTTGACAAATGAGTTCAATTGAATGACTTTTAATAAAAAATTACTAAAGGCACATAAACATGTCTGTCAGACAATTATATTTTTAATTTTACCTATAAGAGGCTGATTTCATATTTAGTTTTAGAAAGTACTAGTATTAAATAACATATACATCTGAACATGCTGATTTAGTCATACCGCATACTTACTATAACATTGCACTTTTATTACCAAATTTTTGTTTATGAATATACAGAATTACATTGAATTGTCTTATAAAGATATTGAATCAGTTATATTTCAGTTATTAATATTAATAAAATGACACTGATGCCAATATCAGATAAGAACATCTCTGAAAAAAAAATATTGAAAATACTTTTCACACTGATAATTTCCATTCTTTATCTCACAAGTTTGACTACAGAACCCCAGCAATGTATTCATAAATAGAACTGATGGCTCAGGTATCAAGTTGCTCCAGTATCACATTAAACTTACCATCAAAGATGCTGCCCATAATACCAGGTCCTAATTCAACTGAGAGAGGTTTGCCAGTCCTTAGTACAGGATCACCTACAGTAACACCAGCTGTTTCTTAGTCAAGGAATAAAAATCTTTATTTATCAATTATTGAAAAGTGTGCTCAGTATAATACTTTTATTTTGATAGTACATGTATGATTCAGTTCATGTGAGACACAAAAATTAAAATATTTGAAATACAGGTGACCATTTTGCAATTTTACAGCCATACAATAGGCGTCTTTTTTCCCCTTAGCTAACAAAATAGCAAGTAATCCCTTGAGAGATTACATTCTGTCATAAAAATGTACCCTGATAAAAAATTGGAAATTTGAGACATTGTAACAAAAAACACCAGGTACATAGCTACAAGGTAAGTATATAAAAGGATACAGGTATCTTCGTAGACCTGAATGGTTGCCATGTCTCCTTCCAACCTAATAATCTCCCCGACCAGTTCTGTGTGTCCGACACGCACCAATTCGTACATAGCAGATCCAGACATATTCTGTGCAGTTACCACTGTAAAAAAAAATAATCAAAGTACTGACTAAATTCATTTAATCAATGATGCTTTTAAGATGAAGGTCAAAACCTAGAACATATAAAAGGTCGCAATGACCTTGGACATAAAGAATCAATGCAATAGTTCACAAGACAAGAAAACATTGTCGAAATAAAAAAAATAACTCCTGTAATTTGAACAAGAGCCATGTCAACATGGCCATCCCCCGCCGAATGTGTTTGCTCATTGGAAGAATGTATATGTAGTAGAGCGGAATAATTCCATTTTAAGAGGTCTTTTGGTAATGAAAACTGATGGCTATAGTGATTACAGATTTGAAACCTATGTGAATACTGATGACTGAAAATAACAAAGGGCAATTACTGAAAAATAATGCAGGGTAGGTTATCATTCTTGTGTGCTGCATCCCTCCTCAGTAAAATATATCCACCTATGAAATTTCAAGTTGATACCTCAAATACTTTTTGAGAAAAAATTGAATTGAAAAATTAAGTATGAAAAAGAACAAAGGGCAATAACTCAAAAATTATAAAAGGTAGAGTTATCATTCTTGTGCAGTGCACACCTCCTGAGTGAGATCTATGCACAAGATCAAGTTTCATTTTGATATCTCAAAGGCTTTTTGAGTTATGCTCTGGACAAAAATTAATTTTGAAAAATAACAAAGGGCAATAACTCAAAAATAATGCAGGGTAGAGTTATCATTCTTGTGCACTGCACTCCTCCTCAATGAGATCCATCCACCTTTGAAGTTTCAAGTTGATACCTCAAATACTTTTTGAGATAAGCTCTGGACAAAATAGCATGAAAAAAAAGGGCAATAACTCAAAAATTGTATAGGAAAGAGTTATCATTCTTGCGCACAACATTCCTCCTCAATAAGATCTATCCACCTATGACATTTCATGTTGATATCTCAAACACTTTTTGAGTTATGCTCCACTCAGGTGAAAAATTAGGTATGAAAAATAACAAAGGGCAATAACTCATAAATTATGAAAGGTAGTGTTATCATTCTTGTGCACTGCACACCTCCTGAGTGAGATCTATGCACCTATGAAGTTTCATGTTAATATCTCATAGGCTTTTGGAGTTATGCTCTGGACAAAAATCAATTTTGAAAAATAACAAAGGGCAATAACTCAAAAATCATGCAAGGTAGAGTTATCATTCTTGTGCACTGCACTCCTCCTCAATGTGGTCTATCCACCTATGAAGTTTCAAGTTGATAACTCAAATACTTTTAGAGATATGCTCCGGACAAAAATGTCGGACGGAAGGTCGGACGGAGAATATTTCTATACCCTCCGCTGAAATTTTTCGGCGGGGGATAACAAGCTATAGAAGAGAAAAATCTAAATGATAATGAAGAATCATATAATTATACTAACCAGGACCAGATACTGCGTACACATAGCCAAACATTGATTCCTTGTCTGCGTCCCTAATTTTAGGGAGCGCACGTGTTCTGTCCATACCTCCAGCCTGAATTAGAAAATTTATTACTGTTATTTTTCTAAACAAAAATTATAATATATATATAGCAAATTTTTTAATGAATATCAAAGGGTAGCAAATTCTGCTTTATTTAAGCCAGTTTCCTTAAATGTATGTTTAATAGCTAAATTTTAATGACTACAAAATGGTACAGATATGAAAACTGTCCATGATGAGGGTTTTAATAGACAAATACCTCAATCAGGAGTATATTATTACAGGGCTTTTTTCACATGTTGGGGAACCAGCGCTGCCCTTAATTTTTGGGGGAAAATTACACAGTATATTTGCAAAAGGGGATGAAAAAACTTGATGTAACTAAATTTTTGGGGAAAACTGCATTATTTAACTAATTTTTCTTTGGGGAAGCAGCCCTAAATGGCCCCTGCTAAGCCTTAAGAAGGAAAGAAAGCCCTGTATTATTATGTTCAATCTATTTTCATTTGTCTTTTTTATAACAATATAAATTTTACTCCTGAAATATACTGTTACAGCAGGATCTAATCCACGAAATTGCCAGAATTTGATTAAGAGTAGCAATGACAGATTCTATACTTAACTTTTTCAGACAAAAACAATCATTAACAAAGTAATAGAAACATTTAACTTATGTTTTAATAAGGTTAGTCGGACGATCAGTTTGTTCTCAATAACTAAGAAACTGACAAAAGGTAACAAGTATAGTGCAGGGCTTCCATTAGTGGAAGTTTGGAATGGAAGTCATTTTCTAATATTAGAGTGTGAAAGCATAACTGACTTGACAGGCATTGAGACAACGTAAACTTCATAAAACATGAGTGTCCTCATGATCATTTTAACGCGTGATGCAAATATGGAACTCTACTTTCTGGATTTTGGATCTGTCAGTGTCATATGACAGACATAATATACCCCACCCACTCAAAATTGAACATCTTTTCAACAACCGGCGAGATTTTTACTTAAAATCTTTGTCTACAACATCAAGATCGCCACTTAAAATGTATAATATATAAAAATAAACTAAACTTAAGAAAGAGAGAAAATTTGAAGCAGCAAACAATTAACAAATAGACGAAAATGTATATTTACCATCTTGATTGATTTGTCTGATGATCGATCATGTGATGTGGGTCACTTCCGCCTTGTTGGCTGATATCCGTTTCCGGTTTCAGTTAAGCTAAATGAAACAGGAAACGGAATAATATTTTATGCACAGTACAGTCCATGACACATTTTAGCTGGTTCTTTGTTTCTTCATTATTCTTATGTCTTAAACTATGGGGGCATTTTCCTTGTAAATGGTTTAATGGGTCAGGGATCTTCCTTAAATTTCCAATGAATACATATTTTAAAAAAAATCCGATGTAAAAATTTGGCAATTGTTAAAAATGGAAAGGAAAAGTTAAATTATAATAAGCCTATATATTATTTGAAAAAAAGACAATTATAGGCCATTCACAAAGAAATATGTAAACTTTTTTCTATTTAGAGTTGCGCCTGAAGTGAATGAACAGCCAAACAATAGACTTGATAATTCGTGGAAACACAAATAGATAGATAGTCATTCTGAAAACTAATTGTGATCTAGAAAAGGTAAGTAAAGCAAAGAAATACGTCTGCGATGAAAAAGCTATTGCTATTTGCTCAGTGGTATATGAGCATGGCAATTTTCATCACCCTACGAAAAAAATTCTTGCACCAAAACTGAACAAAATAAGCGGCGGCGAGCATAGGCTATAATATTATTTTATTCAACTCGTTCAATAAATCCAGTATTAAACTTACACTCATTTAATATCCACTATTTATCACATACCAAAAGTAAAGACCGTTTGATATGAAAGAGAACCATTTTTCATTGTCCCGCCTATAGTATAACGATTAAAAAAAACATTTAGCGCGTCTTAACGCTATGTTGGTATATAACGCAAATGACGTACGTCATGTCAAAATATATGCACGGCTTTACAGAGTCGTAAAAGCGGCACTAGCATGTGATAAATATACTAAGCATTTATTTCTTACAAACACTGTCAGTCCTAAAACATAAGAAACGGCTGCATGATTGTCAATTTGATAAGAGTTTAAAACAACATTAACATGTCACAATTATATTTAAATGACACTAACGATGCAAGTCTTGTGAACCTTCAATAATGTTTGATGTAAAATCATCAAGGCTATAATTCTAGGTACCACTGTGTCATACACAGACCATGCGGTGGCTTTCATATGTCTACATATTATTAGGTGAATATTTGGACTTTGACTGTTTTCTACAGTCAGCTATACTGGATATAGATTAAGATCGACTTTACGTTGCACTAAACGTGCAAATTAGAAAATATTCTGTCCCTCGAGTATATTTTGTTGCACTGCAGTTAAAAATACTTTTTGGGCATTCCATTGCTTCATTACATGGTCATGTATGTAAAGCATTCAAATTAATTATCTAGTCTGTCGGATTTATACGAAAATATCATCATGCAAAGGTGCTGTATAACCCATTATGTAATGTCCCCAGGCTTGAGTCCCATATTACTGTTGGTTTTACATAATAACCCATGAAACATGCGTTGAAGAAAAACTGCTTTAGTATTAAGTTTTAGTTTAAATGTCTAAGTGAGCGATTTTTATTGTTTTCTACAGTGAATTTGAAAAGAAGTATCCAGCTGAAATGCATGTCCCTCATATATTGAACAGATACGTTACCACACTTCAGGTAAACCTGAGTAAGAGTAATATGAACTTGTAACATATTAATAGTTTGCTACTGAACTCAAGTTTTATCATATTTCATTATTCAAAAATAATTTTGACGACAATATACATGCTAGAACCACAATGACTTTGCAATGATGAGGCAATTTGGATTATACTTTAAAGTGAAACAGATACGTTACCATGATATCCCACTGAGAAACATTTACTATTACCAGCACTTAAAAGTAGGATCGCATTTATGCATTATTCAAATATATGCTTTACAAAATTTGATATTTCAATATATTTGGCAACCATATGTGTATATCTGATATATTTTAGTTTTTTGACCAACAGATACGTTACCAACAGATACGTTACCAATATTTATTGTTTGAATCTTAATTGACGATTTTGCTCAATTTTGAAATGGTTTCATGTAAAAAATCACAGCATAACGTACGTGTAGCCAATAAATGATGCTTTGATCTCGATTTTATTGGAAAACTGAAAATGTGAATCAGGAATTTTAAATTCAAGGATTAGTTGAGTTTTCTAGACAATAAAATGTTGAAAAACAGGAAAGAAACATCTAAAGATTTACTGTTTTATTTCCTGGAATAAATATATGTTGATATCTTTTTGGTTTGCAAAATTTGTATTAAAAATAAAATGTAGAGGACTGTATAACTTCTGGTAACGTATCTGTTTATCATAGTAACGTATCTGTTTAGAAAGAGATTTGAGTACTGTTTAATATCTATAACTAAATCTTCAACAAAACTTTGGTTAAATAAATAATATATGGTTAGGCAATATATAATAGCACTGTAACTTTATGAAAAAAAAAAACATATTAAAGTATTTTTAAATGAAATGCCCGTTAGTTTCTAAATTTTAGTCAGGGTCGTATCAAGATTTTCTGTCTATTATAGGGATGGACTAATTGGATATAGCTAAAAATCTTGGAGCTGCACATATATATGGATTCATTATTACTAAGTTGTTTTTTTTAAGCGGTACCATTGTTTCTGATATAATTTTGTTAAATGTAGATAAGCATATACATGTAGGCTTACTCATATCACGAAGTATGACAAAATCAAGGATCGAGATTGTACCAGTATATAAAGAAAAAGTATATAGAAAAAATAAAGACAATTGAACAGCAGATGAACCAAAAAGACAACAGAATGTCAATTCACACTAGTCTATGAAACACTCACATAAATCTAGCTAATAAATATTCTAATAGATGAGTGTCTTTATTAAAATGTTCTTGGTAAGTTCAACCTGTTTCTTAAAGTCACAATGTTATTTGACTATTTGAAGCTACACATAAAACAATAAAACCTATAAAAAAAACCTTTAAATGATATTGTGTGTTCTGTTTAATATTAAAAGTACCGGTTCAGACATATTATTTATTGGTCAGTTGTTTAAGAAAACTTTATGGATATCTATCTATGTGTTCAGGATTTTTCATTATTTTGTTCATAGAAGAACTGTGAAACAGATACGTTACTATGATTTAATATTTGTTTTCACTTAGCGGAATACATTTATACTGTTAAGTAAACCCGAGCTACTTTGTGTCAATAGATAAGTATGGAACATCAGTATTTTTATTGACCTTAAATGCTTTTATAAGTAATTCATGTATTTGAAATAAACAAGTCTGATTAATAAGTAACATTTTCATCAGCTTAAGTTCACAAGCTATTCTTAGACGTAGATTTTTTTTAAATGCATAATAATGCATAATATTTTGTAATATATACTGGTGCTATAATGCTGAAAAAATGATAATAAATTTCTAAATCATGTATATTCATGCTAATTATTTTTGTCTAGTCTCTGAAAGCAATTGGAAAAATGGTAACGTATCTGTTTTTGTACAAATCTCGAATTCTTGGTAACTTATTTTCAGGAAATATATAAGTTTTTTGGTGAAATGTTAAAAGAACCAGTATGTGTTCAATGTTATACATGAGTTGTACCAACTAAAAAAGGTGTCTGGGTAACTATTCGCAAATGTCAATAATTCACTATTACTTACAGTCTAATTTGAATGTTTAGTGGAGAATCAATGTACCGTTATTTTTTATAGTCATTCGCCATTTCCTCGGCAACGTACTAGTATCTTGTTTCGTTTAAACGTTTTTACAAGTATGTCTCATTCATTCTTACATCCAGATAAATGAAGAAGTATTGATGGTAATACTCACATGCATCATACACATGTGCTTCATATACAAAATGCAATCCACGAACTTGGTGATATGCTTAATCTTAAAGCTATATCAATACCTAATTGAAACATTTGTTTAAACCAGTCAAGCCATTTCAGCTGTCTTTATGGTCTATCTAGCTATTGCATTAATAATTGAAGATGACACTACAAAACCTTTATTAGTGCAATTGATAAAGCTCGTAAAAATCCGGCATATTTCGTCACTGCCCGTGTTTTATAATCAAGAAAATTTAACAAGAGAACCATGATGGTCATGGATCGCTCACCAGATGTACATTGCAGGAAAAGTCCACTGTTCTTCAAAAATCAGTAATAAGGTCAAACAAGGTTGTCATTTTCTACCCAAGAGGCATAATTGTTAAACACTTGTAGATGGCCGCTGGGGAATACTACATGCCAAATATGAATGCTTTATGCATTATAATTTCACACAAGTGGACATGTTTTTACAAAGTCAGTCCATTCTAACTAAGTGACACCAGAACTGGATCATTTTTTATCCCAGAGGCATCATTAAGGGCATTCTTGTAAAGGAGTACAAAGCTATAGTTTCATACATGAAGACTTATAAGTGTTTTCTAAAACAAAAAATATGCTTAAACTAAGAAGCTCATGGGCAGGCAAATTGGACTCAAATGGCATGATTTATATAACTTCTGTAGAGGACCAAAAGGTGGCGCTACATGCTAAATATCTAAGCTCTTGGAATTATAATTTCCTAGAAGAAGTTTGAAGACATCTCTAAATTAAGTGACTCCCAGGTTTGGGGGGAGTGGGATTTTTACCAAAGGGACATAACCTAAACAACTTTTCTTAAGGTTAAAAAAGAAATGTTATATGCCAAATATCTAAACTGTTGGCATTGGAAAAGAAGACTTACATGCATTTTCCTATATAAGCCTACATAAACTAAGTGTTCCAGTGGCAGGGCTAATTTTGCCTCAAAGGACTTGCTTAAGCACCACAAAGAGTTTCTGAGAAGGTGATTTTAAAACATTTGTATTACTAGTATACAAGTCTATGTGAACTAATTAACCTCGCGGACGGGCCGTTTTTTTTTACCCAAGGCGTATGACTTATATACCTGTTGTACAGGTCCACTAAGAAATGCTACAGCTCTAGGAATTGCAGTTTCACAAATGAACACTGATATACATTTTTTTCTATATAAGTGTTAAATTCTATATTAGCTATGAAAGTGGCGCAAGGGACGGGGCCAATTTTGAACCAAAGGACATGGTTTATATAACTTTTGAATTTTCACA